TCACATGTAAACAAAGTATAAAAAAGACAAAGTCAAATGAATATATTCATGGCAGAATTAAATAAAAATAATTTTAATTTTAAATTTGTCAAAACGTGCAAACAAATCAAAACTTCAGTAAATGCCCATCATGTAAGTGGTATTGTGTTCATTTTGTGAATCTATACATGATTCGCTGCTAGATATTTCAATCAATAATATTATAATATGTCCACTTCTGTTGATAGACTCCATGACTAGAACTATTCTAGTTTTGTGCGAAACTAATAATCATTAGTCGAGGTATCGGCATCAGCACCAAGTATATTCAGCTATTCTCCTAACATGGAAGCTACAGAAAAGTTATTTGGTATTTCCTGTCAAACATTTCAAACATTCATTGTAAGTCTTCTCAGTCTCATCACAATAAACGATTTACTCCAACACTCTCTGTGATAAGACCTGATCAACTTCCTCATCAGCTGATATCACTGCTTCTAAATGAGCCATGATAAAATAATTATTTGTAAGTGAATTGAGACTGCTATATCAGATTTCTGTATATCATAAACAAGCATCTCCACGCCATTTTAGGCAAACTATCAAGGCGTAAGGGTATACTGTGGCAGTAAGCTCTGGTAAGATAAACATTTGCAAATGGAGTTCATAAAAATAAAATATAACCCAAATAAGTTTAGAAAGCTGACATGTGATTGGCTCAAGATCAGATTTAGAATTAGCAGGTATAGTTTGCTGTAGGACCTCATGATGGGACCTCACTAGAAGTGTCCTCAGACCTTCAGTGAAATAAAGATAGTGTAAAATACCTGATCTCAATAAGATTGAAATCTGCCATATTTTTTAAAAAACACTGAATATATTAAATCTACAACTGTGTCAAAAAATGTTCAGTACAATTAAAAACTATTCACAACTTAATGTATGTTATATTTGGGATTACACTTTCTTAGTAAAGTACAGATTCTAGTACTTTTTGGGTTGAGTCACATCCGGGATTCGAACCCACACCCTCAGAGTCAGGCACCTAATCGTCCCGGATGGGACTCAACCCAAACAGTACTAGAATCTGTACTTTACTAAGAAAGTGTAATCCCAAATATAACATACGTTTCATTTGACCACTTTCTAAAATGGCATTGTGTATTTATTCACAGCTAAGTCCAATGAAAGCCGATTGTATTATGACATGAGATGAGATAACACAATGCTCTTGAATAACAACAATCTGAACAACAAATATTGGACAATAAACTGTAACTTTGTAAAAACAAATTAGACAAAGTACTCAGCTGTTTGGGTTGTATGTAAATTTATACATATCTGACAAAAGAATCAATAATCACACACCAAATAATAGACATTAAGTTTTGTCTCCATGACGATGAATTACTTCTGACATACATTAGGCATTTGAGATTACTTTCACAATTCACATTATTTAAAAGATCTTTTTCTATATAAGAAAAACATCATGTTTAAGTATATGGAGAAGGAAAGAAATATTTAAAAAAACAAACCATTCTCTCATCACATTCAAGAAATGACAAATATCTTCATAATCATCAATCCAACAGATAAATGCCCTTATTTCTAATTCCCCAACTATTTGATATTGTGGAATGGGACGGGGATGATAATTTTGTTTAAATAAAATCTGTTTAAAAAATTGTTGTCCCAAAAATAGCTCTCATTATGTTTCACAAAAATATGCTAATATTCACATTTATATTGGACATTGAAAGAATATTATATTGCATGAATTTGTTCTGCTCCCACTTAATGATAAAAACCTTGTACATCTTAAACCCGGGACTCCAATCATGTTATGTCAAAAACATTCAAGCCCTGCCTCAGAGAATGCGAACTGCTGTGTCCAATAAAATCTTCTCTCCAGGTCAATCTCAACCCTGGATTATTAAAACTGAATAGAAAAGAAATACGCTGTCAGATATTTTGGCCTGATGCTCTTCCAAAAGTATGTCTCATCCATGAGGAAAAAACAACATAAATTAATATAATTCATAGCTGTTTGGCTGACAAGTCATTGCATTAATAAACTCCTGAGTCTTTAAAGCTGACAACCCAAACCCTGATGGACACATCGGACGGTGTTTGTGTACATAGTAGTGATGAAAAGTAGCACCAAATCATCAACTACCCACATCACACATCATATCCTGAAAAACTCAAACTTGTTGGTTCTTTTTTCATGAACAGTATGATGACTTTATTAATGTTATTTTAACACCTACATCAGACTTTGAGCCGTATGTCTTGTATGCCAACAAATGCCAAACAAAAAACTTCTCACAACTCACAAGAAAAACCAGATGTTTGGCAATTCCTCAAAGAACATGTTATTTTAGTTCACATTGATAAATGTGTTCACCCATCACATGACTTGTGGGCTCCAGAAATGGGTTACATACATTGTACCCATGTGGGGAATCGAACCCGGGACTTCAGCGTGACGAGCGGATACTTTGTCGGACGCTTTAACCACTAGGCTACCCCATCATGCTTCAAGTGAAGTCACTGGAAAGTATGACACAAGTAACAGCTGTTACAAGGAGCTGGCACCAGTTGTGGGATACAGGTACTACCGGCCGACATATGTACAAACTTAGACCATCTCTTAAATCTGGTCATCCAAATCGTAGTCGTAAAAGGCGTGATGAGGTCATTCTGTCATGTCTTAGACTTGGACTGTGGGCTAAATGTTTACAGGAATATTATAGATAAGACTGTCTCTTCTAAATGTGGCCATTGCAATTTGGAGATGCCTGAAAATATTGAACATTATCTAATTACATGCCCTGGGCATAACAACATAAGATACAATCTCCGAAGTTCTGTACTTGAGGTTGATGATATATTTTCTTTAGAAACAGTTTTGGGCGATATCATGTACTGGTCCGTGCAACAGGCAGTTTTAGATTTTGTCTCGTCATCTGGAAAATATGACGTAATCTAGACAGGCACTCGAATGGCTTAGACAGATTTAGTTCTGAGATTTTAAATCATTTTAACGCTCTGTCATCTTAACCTACTGCTTTTTTAATGAATGAGTTTTTCATGTTTCAGAAATGGAAGTGATTACTTAAGGTTTTTAATCCGTAACACGAAGCAAAGGGTATTCGAGAGATGTATACATCTATCCAAATGAATATTAATAGTGTTGTCATTTCTTTTATGTTAACTAAACGATTTTTGGTGATGAAATAACCCAAGGGCAAATAGGCCTCTTATTGGCCCAAAAATTATACAACCACACATGCTGTTTCATCATCACAACAATGGGACTGTGGGGGTGATCTCCTAGGTCCTCAGGTCTAGACCTGCTGGGACTGTGGGGGTGATCTCCTAGGTCCTCATGTCTAGACCTGCTGGGACTGTGGGGGTGATCTCCTAGGTCCTCATGTCTAGACCTGCTGGGACTGTGGGGGTGATCTCCTAGGTCCTCATGTCTAGACCTGCTGGGACTGTGGGGGTGATCTCCTAGGTCCTCATGTCTAGACCTGCTGGGACTGTGGGGGTGATCTCCTAGGTCCTCATGTCTAGACCTGCTGGGACTGTGGGGGTGATCTCCTAGGTCCTCATGTCTCCAGACCTGCTGGGACTGTGGGGTGATCTCCTAGGTCCCTCATGTCTAGACCTGCTGGGACTGTGGGGTGATCTCCCTAGGTCCTCATGTCAGACCCTGCTGGGACTGTAGGGGGGTGATCTCCCAGGTCCTCAGGTCTAGACCTGCTGGGACTGTGGGGTGATCTCCTAGGTCCTCATGTCTAGACCTGCTGGGACTGTGGGGTGATCTCCTAGGTCCTCATGTCTAGACCCTGCTGGGACTGTGGGGTGATCTCCTAGGTCCCTCATGTCTAGACCTGCTGGGACCGTGGGGATTATCTCCTAGGTCCTCATGTCTAGACCTGCTGGGACTGTGGGGGTGATCTCCTAGGTCCTCAGGTCTAGACCTGCTGGGACTGTGGGGTGATCTCCCAGGTCCTCATGTCTAGACCTGCTGGGACTGTGGGGTGATCTCCTAGGTCCTCATGTTCAGACCTGCTGGGACTGTGGGGGTGATCTCCTAGGTCCTCATGTCTAGACCTGCTGGGACTGTGGGGTGATCTCCCAGGTCCTCATGTTCAGACCCGCTGGAACTGTGGGGTGATCTCCCAGGTCCTCATGTCTAGACCTGCTGGGACTGTGGGGTGATCTCCTAGGTCCTCATGTCTAGACCTGCTGGGACTGTGGGGTGATCTCCTAGGTCCTCATGTCTAGACCTGCTGGGACTGTGGGGGTGATCTCCTAGGTCCTCAGGTCTAGACCTGCTGGGACTGTGGGGGTGATCTCCTAGGTCCTCATGTCTAGACCTGCTGGGACTGTGGGGGTGATCTCCTAGGTCCTCATGTCTAGACCTGCTGGGACTGTGGGGGTGATCTCCTAGGTCCTCATGTCTAGACCTGCTGGGACTGTGGGGGTGATCTCCCTAGGTCCCTCATGTTCAGACCTGCTGGGACTGTGGGGTGATCTCCTAGGTCCTCATGTCTAGACCTGCTGGGACTGTGGGGATGATCTCCTAGGTCCTCATGTCTAGACCTGCTGGGACTGTGGGGGTGATCTCCTAGGTCCTCATGTCTAGACCTGCTGGGACTGTGGGGATGATCTCCTAGGTCCTCATGTCTAGACCTGCTGGGACTGTGGGGGTGATCTCCTGGGGTCCTCATGTCTAGACCTGCTGGGACTGTGGGGTGATCTCCTAGGTCCTCATGTCTAGACCTGCTGGGACTGTGGGGGTGATCTCCTAGGTCCTCATGTCTAGACCTGCTGGGACTGTGGGGGTGATCTCCTAGGTCCTCATGTCTAGACCTGCTGGGACTGTGCGGGTGATCTCCTAGGTCCTCATGTCTAGACCTGCTGGGACTATGGAGCTGATCTCGGGGTGACAGAACTGACTCATATCAGAATCCTCATGTCAAAAAAAAAAGGGAACAAAGGTAAAATCATCGTGGAAGGTTTTAAAAAAAATCAGATGTGAGTGACATTTTTTAGATTTTATGATAACAAATCTCTTCTGACTAACATCAAAATAAACACATCTTTGTGAAACACAATATGCTGAATATTCTGTATATTGGCCACAATGTCATGAGGTCAAGTGGTTTAGTCGGGTGAAACATGTCATTTCAGTTTGAAGTGTAGCACATATATCTTTCTCGGATTTGTTGTGGAGAGACACTATATGCACTACTCAAAACAAAATAATGTACAACAATTTTCAAAATGTTTGTTTCTGGTTTTGTCGGTCGAAGCTATCCGCTAAAAAGTATGAAGTGTTTCCTGGTATCTTGTCACAACCATCAGCTATTTCTCATATAACCCTGTCGCCCATGTTAATAAATGGTTAACTTCACACTGTTCCCTTATTTCTTCCCCTGAGTATACAATTCTCCGGGTGTAATGTGATGATTATGTGGGACACTTCCATGCCGAGAGGTCGAGAGAGTCCAGGTGCTTCACTGTGCCCTTCTTCCATATAAGCCAGATGAAGCCGACGATGACGCATGCCACAGACTCGATGTAGTACCCGTCCATAGTGGTGGTGCAATTGCCGTCAGCTGCGTGACATTCCTGGAAGACGGGAAGCAAGGTCAGGGAATGGTGCAGTCACAATAATAAGGAGACACTGAAATAACCTAGACAGGATCTGCTAAACTAGTGGTTGATAGTGTGAACATTTACTACACTGGTGATACCCACAACAAAGGGTTCTAAAAAATTTGGACTCTGAAACCTGGGTGAGTACCTGGGCCCTGTTGGGATGACAGACTTCGATCACTGTCGGGGAGAGGGCAGAGACTCCGAGTGAGTGAGTGAGTTCAGTTTTATGCTGTACTCAGCAATAGTCCAGCTATATGGCGGCAGTCTGTAAATAATCGAGTCTTGACCAGACAATCCAGTGATCAACATCATGAGCATCGATCTGCATAATTGGGAACCGATGACATGTCTCAAGTCAGCGAGCCTGACCACCCGATCCCGTTCGTCGCCTCTTACGACAAGCATGGGTTACTGAAGGCCAATATTCTAACCCAGATCTTCACGGGTGGGAGAGACCTGGGGGTGTAATCCAGGATCCTACATACCGCTTTGAGAGTCTTGCTGTTACAGGTGTCGATGCCGTCTGCTGTACATTTCGTCCAGGTCAGATAGTCAACCATCCATAATGCAACAGTCGCGGGCCAGTTACCTCCTGAAATATAGCTTCATTAATAGCAACTGCCTCCTGAAATAGTTTCATTAATAGCTACCGCCTCCTGAAACATTCTCTCACATGTACTTACTGCCTACTGAAACATTCTCTCATATATACCTACTGCCTCCTGAAACATGGTCTCATATATACCTACTGCCTCCTGAAACATTGTCTCATATATACCTACTGTCTCCTGAAACATGGTCTCATATATACCTACTGCCTCCTGAAACATGGTCTCATATATACCTACTGCCTCCTGAAACATGGTCTCATATATACCTACTGCCTCCTGAAACATGGTCTCATATATACCCACTGTCTCCTCCTGAAACATGGTCTCATATATACCTACTGCCTCCTGAAACATGGTCTCATATATACCTACTGCCTCCTGAAACATGGTCTCATATATACCTACTGCCTCCTGAAACATGGTCTCATCTATACCTACTGTCTCCTGAAACATGGTCTCATATATACCTACTGCCTCCTGAAACATGGTCTCATATATACCTACTGCTTTTCACACATAATATCATAGAACTTGTACCAACTCACCCAAGTTGGACAGAGTGTTGAGGAGGGTCATGTAGGTGCCGCCTATCGCTGGGTCGCTGACCTTGGCAGCAAAGGCCATCACTGCCACAAACATGCTGTACACAAATACCTGGAAGTACATCATGAATGAAACATATAATACATTGAAACACGACCAAATTTGTTCTTTCAACATCGCAAAACGTGTAAGGATCAGGGATTGGGAAAGGCAGGGGCCATGGGCCATTTTGCACATTTGAAAAAAAAATGGCCCATTAAAATTTGGAAGTTTGCTATTGATACAAGGGCAGTGGCCCATTCTAAATTCAATGGCCCACTGTCAAAGTTTCTACCCCAATCCCTGGAGGCTTATATAATTTTGTGAATATGAAAAACAATATCATTAAAACTAACTAATGTATGGGGTGAAAAACGTAGCTCTGCCTCCTGTTAGGTCAGGTAAATGTTAAGTTATTAAATAATAACTAAACATTATGTGGTCATTTGTGTGATCAATGTTTTATTATAACAAATCCATTGTAAACACTTAGTAACAGGGGACATAGCGACACAGGTGGTGACAACTCAATTAACCATGTCAACATTGTGAGTGGCCACTACAGGTGTTGATAAGCTACTACAGGTGTTGATAAGCTAGGCAGCAGAAGCACGTTGAGGAATCCAGTCAGGGACTGTACCAAATATCAACAACAGATTTGCCCAACTGAGCTAAAGTGAGTGGCTGTTTGAGTCCTGTTGTAGGCATCTGTCCATCTTATCCCAGAAATGTTCAGTTGGGGAAGAGCCTGGACAAACAGCCGACCATGACAGTATGGTCACATCATGGCAGTAGAGAAATGTAATGCTGAATCAAAATGCTTGTCAATATATGTGCAACATGTGGTTGGGCACTACAACATACCTGATGTGTGGCATAGCTGCCGAGGGTGATGACGTACCAGTACCATGGGAACTCGCCTGGCAGTACCATGGGAACCCAGGATTCGCCTGGCATCAAGATTAACCTGCAACGCCACCAGGATTAACTCTGCCCAGTATTAACCAGCACACAGTACACCAAACCCAGGATTAACCTGCAACAAATAAACCCGGATTAACCAGCTACACACTACACAAGATTAACCTGCAACACACAACACAGGATTAACCTGCAACAAATAAACCCGGATTAACCAGCTACACACAACACAAGATTAACCTGCAACACACAACACAAGATTAACCTGCAACACACAACACAAGATTAACCTGCAACACACAACACAAGATTAACCTGCAACACACAACATAAGATTAACCTGCAACACACAACACAAGATTAACCTGCAACACACAACACAAGATTAACCTGCAACACACAACACAAGATTAACCTGCAACACACAACTCAAGATTAACCTGCAACACATAATCATGGATTAACCTGCAACACACAACACAAGGTTAACCTGCAACACACAACACAAGATTAACCTGCAACACATAATCATGGATTAACTGTTAACTCTGCGTTGCAACACACACAACACAAGATTAACCTGCAACACGCAACACACAAGATTAACCTGCAACACGCAACACAAGATTAACCTGCAACACACAATACAAGATTAACCTGCAACAAGATTAACCTGCAATTACAACAGGATTAACCTGCAACAACACAAGATTACCTGCAACACTGATTAAACACAACAACACAAGATTAACCTGCAACACACAACACAAGATTAACTCTGCAACACACAACACAAGATTAACCTGCAACACAATACAAGATTAACCTGCAACACACAAATACCTGCAACACACAACACAAGATTAACCTGCACACAACACAAGATTAACCTGCAACACACAACACAAGATTAACCTGCAACAACACACAACCTGCAACACACACAACACAAGATTAACCTGCAACACACACAACAACACAAGATTAACCTGCAACACACAACACAAGATTAACCTGCAAACACAACACAAGATTAAACACAAGATTAACCTGCAACACATAAACACAAGATTAACCTGCAACACAAGATTAACTCTGCAACACAAGGTTAACCTGCAACACACAACACAAATTAATTAACCTGCAACTCTGATTAACCTGCAACACACAACACAAGATTAACCTGCAAACACGCCCACAACACAAGATTAACCTGCAACACACAACACAAGATTAACCTGCAACACACAACACAAGATTAACCTGCAAACACAAGATTAACTCTGCAAGATTAACCTGCAACACACATGCAACACACAACACAAGATTAACCTGCAACACAGCAACACACAACACAAGATTAACCTGCAACACACAACAATATTAACCTGCAACTGCAACACTATTAAACACAAGCAACACAATATTAACCTGCTAAACAAGATTAACCTGCAACACGCAACACAAGATTAACCTGCAACACGCAACACAAGATTAACCTGCAACACAACACAATATTAATTAACACAAGATTAACCTGCAACACGCAACACAAGATTAACCTGCAACACGCAACACAATATTAACCTGCAACACGCAACACAATATTAACCTGCAACACGCAACACAATATTAACCTGCAACACGCAACACAAGATTAACCTGCAACACACAACACAAGATTAACCTGCAACACGCAACACAAGATTAACCTGCAACACAACACAAGATTAACCTGCAACACGCAACACAAGATTAACCTGCAACACACAACACAAGATTAACCTGCAACACAACACAAGATTAACAACAACACAAGATTAACCTGCAACACGCAACGCAAGATTAACCTGCAACACACAACACAAGATTAACCTTCAACACACAACACAAGATTAACCTGCAGCACACAACACAAGATTAACCTGCAACTAACAATACAGGATTAACCTGCAACACACAACTCAGGATTAACCTGCAACACACAACACAAGATTAACATGCAACACATAATCAAGGATTAACCTGAAACAGACAACCCAGCATTTACCCAAAATTAAAGTACATTAAATGTTCCTTTGCGGTTTATTATAACTGTAGCCTACTGCAATGACATGTTTTGAATTAACACTGATGACACCCGTGTTCATGGTGCTTACAGCTCATTCAACATTACTCAGCAATATACCAGCTAGTTCATGGTTGTAAATGATATGCAGAACAAACTAGAGGTCGACAGTTTCAGCAACATTCTCAACAGATGGATTACAATGACACCGAATCATCAGGTCGCTACAGATCAAACATTCCCAAGTTACCTCACAACAATGCAGGGCTACTGGGTTCTGTCTTGGCACTTCCACACAAATACTACCATGAGTAACTTTCAGGGGATTTACTCTGTCTGGGAATCAATACTGGGGGTGAGAGTCGTTGGTGCTGAGGACAATGTCGTCCCCCAAACCCTCCCTAGGGTAAACACACAGAGTAATAACAGAAATTGATTTGTGCGCTAAATTGAGGCTGCATGTAAAATACTGCAAGTACCAATACTGGTACAGCCAATACTTTGATTGTGTAACCTGATTAATTCACTTCAATCAATCCATCCTTTCCACTTCATGTAGTAAAACAAATGACATCGTAGCCTAAAATTCGCACCTGAAAGGTAAGGCTCTGAGGAAGACATCCATGGGTCGCGGTCCGGTCGTGTACTTGCTGATGCCAAGAGCCAAGAGGATCTGCAGTGGCACCATTGGAACGGCAAACAACGCCAGCCTCTCTTTGGGGAGTCCTGCCTCGATCAGCTTCAGGCTCGTCAGGGAATCTGCAGCGGCAAATCCAATCTAAAAGGAAGACAGTACCAGGACATATTCATCTCCAGAGAAAAGTCCAACTGAATTCATCCATTCACACAGAACTGCTGAATGGGCTTGCACTATCATTATTATCAAAGAGACACAATAACTAGGGGGAGTTGTTTATTGTAGAGTATGGTGGCGTGTGGTCCTGTGCCAGAAGCTTAGGTCACTAATCAGTTGACGTTAAGCAATGTGGAGCTCAGACAGTTCTTGGATGGGTGACCGTGTTTGGAAGCTTGACTCCTGAGAATTTCTAGGTCTACAGTCCTGCCCCCCTTCCGTCCTGCACCTTAGGCAAGTGAGTTTGTTCAAAACTGCCTGTTCACCCAGCAGAAAATGGGTACCTGGTTGGGTAAGTCATGTGACTATAACCTTCTAGCACCTAACAGACAGCTTGGGTTATCCAGTGTAATAATAATCAGATTCTCATTAAGCACTGCGAGCAATCACTTTGTGTTTGGATACTGTGCACTATAGAAGCAGGTGAGTGAGTATAGTTTTAGCAATATTCCAGAAATATCATGGCAGGGGGGCACCAGAAATTGGTTTCACACCTTGTACACAAGTTTGGAATCTGACCACGGTGATGGGGACAGAACACTCTAAGCACTAGGCTACCAAATCCCCTGTCTATCGTAAAAGAAAACACTGCAGAGAGAATACCTTGAACCCCAGGTTCTTGTGGGACCGACTCAGAATCCATCTCAGTTACCTGCCCCAGCTACCATCAACCCTGCCTCTGACCCTGACCCCTAACAGGTCAGGTCGTCGGGTCAGGTCATCAGGTCACAATGTTATCATTGCAGGTTGCTGGAATTCCCATGTATAAATCACTTAATGGAACCTCTAGGTCCCAAACCATCAGTTCTTCTCAATGAAACCAAGGAATTACTCTCCCTCTGAATCTCCACACGGTTCTCATAAAATAATAGATACAAACAATTCAAAACAAGAGTCATCAGAAGATGACATATCCCCCCGGCCCCCACATCTTTGAAAGAACAAATCATCTGACAGTTACTTAAAGTCCAGCTTGATTTTAGACTAAGTGCAAATAGTTTCCATGGAAATCATGAAAAAAATAAATGACAAAAATCTGCAAATAGCAAAAGGCACCACTTTGGGATCTGCCTAACATATCTGCCAAGTTTTGCTGAAAGATATTAAGAAGTATTCGAGTTGTGCTCCGGAAATGAAACCTACACCTCCTTTTTGAGTCTAAGCCCGAATCGTTTCCATGGAAACCAAGAAAATAATACATCACAAATATCTGTAAACAGCAAAAGGCACCACTTTAGGTTCTGTTTGATATATCTACCAAATTTTGCAGAAAAATACTTAACGGTTTCTGAGTTATGCTCCGGAAACGAAGCCCACCCCTCCCTTTAAGACTAAGTCCAAAACGTTTCCATGGAAACTGAGAAAAATAAAAATGCCAAAATCTGTAAACTGCAAAGGCACCACTTCAAGAAGGCACCAACTTCAAGATCTGCCTCGTGTTATATCTGCCAACCCTCCCTTTTTGACTCAGTTCAAAGTTTCCATGGAAACTGAGAAAAATAAAAGAAGTTTTCTGTAAATAGCAAAAGGCATCACTTCAAGATCTGTCTCATATATCTCCCAAGTACTGCTGAAAGAACCCAACGGTTTTCCTCCCTCTTGAAACCTAAATCTTTTGAGATCGTTTCCATGCATACCAAGATAAATACAAATGCCAAAATCTGTAAAGAGCAAAAGGCACCACTTTGGGATCTGCCTCACATATCTGCCAAGTTTTGCTGAAAGATATTAACAAGTTTTCGAATTGTGCTCCGGAAACTAAACCCACCCCTCCTTTTTGAGACTAAGTCTGAATCGTTTCCATGCATACCAAGATAAATACAAATGCCAAAAATCTGCCAAGAGCAAAAGGCACCACTTTGGGATCTGCCTCACATATCTGCCAAGTTTTGCTGAAAGATATTAACAAGTTTTCGAATTATGCTCCGGAAACTAAACCCACCTCTCCTTTTTGAGACTAAGTCCGAATAATTTCCATGGAAACCAAGAAAATAATAAATCACAAATATCTGTAAATAGCAAAAGGCACCACTTTGGGTTCTGTTTGATATATCTACCAAATTTTGCAGAAAAATACTTAACGGTTTCTGAGTTATGCTCCGGAAACGAAGCCCACCCCTCCCTTTAAGACTGAGTCCAAAACGTTTCCATGGAAACTGAGAAAAATAAAAATGCCAAAAATCTGTAAATAGCAAAAGGCACCACCTTAGGTTCTGTTTGATATATCTACAATTTTTGTTGAAATATATCGAATGGTCTTGGAGTTATGCTCCGGAAACAAAATGATTACGGACGGACGGTCGAGGCGATGACTATATCCCCCCGCATTACATGCTGGTGTTTTTTGTTTTGTTTTTTTTTTTTTTTGTAACAAAACATACATGAATTTTGCCAAAACTGACCTTGACCTAATTTTGACTGACCTTGCATGTAAGGAGGATGACACAGTAAGACAAGACAGCAGGTCGTTTGACGACCTTCCCGAGGATCTTGTAGGTCTCCACAATGCCCTGGTCGGGGTCGGCCGAGAGGTCAAGCTTCTCTTTCTTCATTATCCAGACCAGAGTTGTTGTGACGAAAAACACCACGCCCCAGAAGGAAAGAAAACCTGAAATAGTATGTACATGTCTCATTACTCTAGAAAGCTGCCTTGTTACAAGAGGTAAAATAACCACTTTAGAAATTCACAATATTATGCTATTTGAATGAAAATTTAAAAAGTTAAAATTGCCTGGACTATTTCTTTCTACAATATGGAATCTGTCATATCAGATCAGCTGGTCCTTAACATATATCATACTAAAACTACAGCAAAATCTTGTCATTACCTGTCAATGTGTAATATTCTTTAGACAACTACTTTTACACCGTGATGGCAATAAATTCCTGTTCTGGTTGTCAATCACAGAATTTTCAACAGATGTCCTCTTCGATGGACATATCAAATAGTTGTGGGGAAAACCCTACCCACTGCAGGTAAAGGCAGCTGAGCATGTTTTACTCTTGATGCAGCAATGTCAAGTATTTGCCAGATGTAATAACACCAGAAAAGAATAGCCCACATATGTTACATTTGGGCTTACACTTTCTCACTAAAGTACAGATTCTAGTACTTTTATTGGGTTGAGTCCCATCCGGGGATTCGAACCCACACCCTCAGAGTCAGGCACCTATAGCTAAAGTACTGTCGGAAATGCTAGAAAAATGCTTTTTGACTTATATTTAAAATTCAGAGGTATTACAGTTACTTAAATAACAAATATCACTTTAAGAAACATCTACCTAATGTAGACCGAGGGAATAAATTTCGAGACATGCCCAAAAATGCATTTTTACTGATGAAAATACCAAAAACTTAGAAAAATAAGGGGTAGTGGGACGTTATTTGATACAAACATTAACTGCCTGTGTTACGTCATCAGCATGCACGGTATCGACAGGTGAAATTGACACCTGAGCACACGCTCGGGCGAGGGGTCATCTCAATAGATGTTTTCTTCAAAATGTTGAATGTGTACGTGTAGTATACGTATTGGTTATGTAAGGGATCATTTGAGTACGCGTGTTTGTTGTGAAATAAACATACGAATTACTGTACATTGGAAAGAATCCTATCACTTGTGTTATCTTATCGATTGATTGTAGAAATGTGCAACGTTTTAATAAATGTTTTGCATGTCAACAGTATATTTCATTGCAAAAATATGGATGTAATTCGGTCAGTTTAATCTAGTTGTGAACATTGGCCAAAGATTTAACGAAGTCACTGGTGTAGCTTCTTTAGAATATATATATTCTTCTTCTCATAAAGTTTGTATACCGCCCGTCTAAGTACTCCCTTGTCAGAGTTGTCAAGGATGGTTTTACGTCCCGGTTTTGCTTTTGAGACGGTCCCTGTCTTGTCTGATTTGTTTACAATATTGTAAACTTGTTGGTAAGACATACCAACAGCTCTACAAGTTCTGTAATAAACCATTTCTATACTAATGAAAGGTTTACCTCTGTCTTTTTCAAGCACAAAAACTTATAAACCTTTGCAAGGTTCGTCTGCAAATAGTTGGCCATAGTGGACGCTGTGATAAAGATGTGCATGCATGACGGAAACTTATTTATCAAGACTTAACATTTATATTAATATTTCTTCAATAAAGAAACGATAATTAAGTAAAGTAACACAAACATTCAACATTTATTTGTTTAAGAAAAACGTTAATTTTTATTTTCACACCACCTGTATTATTAGCATAAATGTAAAGACTATTTCAGATTTCTGTTGTTGAACTCTGGAAAAATCGTAAGTTGTTGTTTTGGTACCAAATTCTCTCCTGTAAACTGCCCTTTAAATGCATGGGAATGTTAAATCAATTGAAATAAAAATTAGGTACACTAAAGGTGAGTTGATATATTGACAACATAATACATGTATCACCTTTCTAAAGATATTAAGGCTAAAAAGCATTTTTCTAGCATTTCCGACAGTACTTTAATCGCAAGCACACAAAGTCAGCCGCTCAGCCACTGCGGCTTCCCTATGTTACATCCTACCACTTTCTAAATGGCATTGTGTATTCAAAGAATAGCTACACCTATAGGAATCAGAGGACTATATTTCGGTGAGCAAAAAGTAGAAATAGTTCCTTCAAGGTGACCCAGTATATTTGCATATCTGCCAAGCTTATTGCTTTCACTGTACACAATATATGTTCTAATATAACAGTGAGTTTCTACACAAGTATCACGACATACCAACATATGATCATATCATGCTATTCATACCCACAAAGCACCAGCTGTTACAGCAACTTATACCATCTCTAGGATCCTGAATGAAGCTGATCAGCCATTATCGCAACCATTGTTTTGTAATACACACTGATGCAGATACACAGCTCTCATCAGAGCCGCCAGGCTCATATTACTTTTGGTATAAATATTCAGAAGACCAAATACCAGGAATACTGTACTGAGCACAATTGGTTTTATTTTCTGATTTCCCAGTGTCACAATCTTGTTGGGAAAAGTGTTCATATATTGGTTCTACTGTGACCTACCTGAGAGTGTGACGACTCCCTGTGACCTACCTGAGAGTGTGACGACTCCCTGTGACCTACCTGAGAGTGTGACAACTCCCTGTGACCTACCTGAGAGTGTGACGACTCCCTGTGACCTAGCTGAGAGTGTGACGACTCTCTGTGACCTACCTGAGAGTGTGACGACCCCCTGTGACCTACCTGAGTGTGTGACGACTCCTGTGACCTACCTGAGAGTGTGACGACTCCCTGTGACCTACCTGAGAGTGTGACGACTCCCTGTGACCTACCTGAGAGTGTGACGACTCCCTGTGACCTACCTGAGAGTGTGACGACTCCCTGTGACCTACCTGAGAGTGTGACGACTCCCTGTGACCTACCTGAGAGTGTGACGACCCCTGTGACCTACCTGAGAGTGTGACGACTCCCTGTGACCTACCTGAGAGTGTGACGACTCCCTGTGACCTACCTGAGAGTGTGACGACTCCCTGTGACCTACCTGAGAGTGTGACGACTCCCTGTGACCTACCTGAGAGTGTGACGACTCCCCTGTGACCTACCTGAGAGTGTGACGACTCCCTGTGACCTACCTGAGAGTGTGACGACTCCCTGTGACCTACCTGAGAGTGTGACGACTGACCCTGTGACCTACCTGAGAGTACCTATGAGTATGACGACTCCCTGTGACCTACCTGAGAGTGTGACGACTCCCTGTGACCTACCTGAGAGTGTGACGACTCCCTGTGACCTACCTGAGAGTGTGACGACTCCCTGAGGCTGTGGCACGGACCGCAGGTAATTATTACAGAACTCCGGAGACTCCAGCGCCAGGAAGAGGACGTTGCCCATGAAGTAGCCAGTAGTCTGACCGACGGAGTTGCAAGTACTTGCCCAGCCTACATTACGCCTGAAAAACCATCACCTAAAACTTTAACTCTTTATATAACACTTATTTACCGATTCTACCGATTCCTGAAAGATTCAACCCAAAACACAAGTAACAAGCATTTTCACAAAGGTGACATAATCCCCCGCCACAAATTATCAAATCAAACTTAAAAAGAAATGAAAGTTTAAGATGAAGTTAAATGTCAACAAAAACATGACCAGTCAACCTGTCTTGATATCGTCTCTTTAGTTGTTCAAACACACAAATATTTTCAAGACTGACTTTGACCTTGACATGAATATCATAGTGTATGAAATATGCAAAAATGAAACAAATTGCTTTTTGAAAAACAGTCAAGGGAAGTCTTGAAAGTCTATGAAGAAAATCCAGTGAATTCAGGTTAACATGCTGAAATCTTCAGTGTCACAGTGACCTTGAAAATTATGTGAAGGTCACCAAAATTGACTGGGTCCTGTGCCTTCATAAGATGAAGCTTGGTGTCATATATGACAAAAATCCAGTGAATGGTTCTTGAGATATCTCACTGACCATCTTAACATGCAGGTTAACATACTGAAATCTTCAAAGTGTCGCTGTGACCTTGAAAATTAAGCGAAGGTCACCAAAATCAACTGGGCCTGGCGCCTTCCCTAGGTTAAGCTTGGTGTTGAATATGAAGAAAATCTAGAGATCAGTTCTTAAGATATTCTAATTCGTACGTACGCACGGAACCTAATACTATAATTAAAAAACCACACACACCCCTCCCCCACTTCCCTCTTACCAAAACATACACCACACCTAACACAACCCTCCCCGAACCCCACACAACCTTCCCCTAACCCCAACACAACCCTCCCCTAACCCAACACAACCCTCCCCTAACCCCAACACAACCCTCCCCTACCCTAACACAAACCTTCCCTAACCCCAACACAACCCTCCCCTAACCCTAACATACACTCCCCTAACCCCAACACAACCCCCCCTACACCTAACATAACACTCCCCTAACCTTAACACAACCCTCCCCTAACCCTAACATACCCCTCCCACACCAAAACAAACAACACTAATTTCACATTAAGTTTGTTCAACACCGATGAGAAAAAAGCGTCAATCTAGCCAAGGCCTTTTCACATTCTGCTAATAAATTAGGTTCTCCTATCACAGAAGTACATGTATACAACACTGGTAGATCTGACACACATACCTCTCTTCCTAATGGTCTCACCTTGACAGCATAGTCAGCGCCCAGCCATCCACGGCGATGTCTTGCGTGGCAGCCAGGAAGTTCAACATGAAGAATATCACAGTCAGCGTCATCACACTCACTGGAGCAGTGTCGTCGCCGTCACCAAGAATGTCCTTGATGTGCCGTGACAACACAATCATAAACACGCCTATCAGGTACTGGGTTGGCACCAACCAAGTCTTCCGACGCCCAAACTGTAGCCAGTATATGGAGTCAACTAACGGCGCCCACAGCAGTTTAACACTAAAAGGCCAATACACAAAACTAAACAGAGCTTGTTCCTTATAGCTAACACTCCTGCTCTGTAACAACATGGGGATGCTGCCGGCCAAGCCTAAAGGAATCCCTTGAAGAATGTATAGAAATGTCAACAGTGCTATACTCCCATAGTCCCCCTTCAAACTGCTGCCTTCTTTCGATGTTTTATCATCATCATCATACAAGTCTGGCTGATCGACAGAGGTTGAGATGGGAATATGAGGTCCAATAAAGTCACTTTCAGGGTCAACCCCATCTATAAGATGTCGTCCTCTCCGGGGACGAGCGTTACCTTCGTTCACAGCCATGTTGGCTGCGATCTCTGGCATGAGAATATACTCGTCAAGAAATAACTTGAGCTTTCTTGCAAGAGTAATCAGCATAAATGTCTGTCAGAACACATCAATCTGAAAAATGAAACTTTGTAAGTTTTTTTGTTTCAGCAAAATAATAGTTTAGAAGACAAATCGTTCAAAAACAACCATTAGACCTGCACTCTTTAAAGGGGCACTGATTGGGAGCAACTCCCGTTTCACACCAACAATCTTAATGATTTGTTTGAGTGGCATTCTAGAAGTTGGTGGTACAGAGATGACAAGACTTTATGGATGATCAATTTCTTTATTTTCACAATGGCGATGTTTCGGTATAGATTCTTAAAATAAAGAAGTTGATCAATGGCGACATGTCGGTATAGATTTAAGAATCTATACCGACACATCGCCATTGTCAAAATAAAGAAGTTGATCATCCATAAAGTCTTGTCATCCCCAACCATCTTAATCACAACGTCTAGCTGCCAGGTGGTCCCTCGACCGTGATGGACACAGGGACCGGGCAACTGTCCACCTTGGCAGAATTTCAGATGGCAGATGGTGTGATGACTAATCCAGTTTGATTATATTTCTGTGGTATTTACCTCGATATGTAATCATGTAACAACTAAGATATAAAACACATTTTGATACTGTTAATTGGTATGTCACACTGACATTGCTAGAAAAATCTAAAAATTTACTTTAGGTATATACAGTTCTAAACTTTAGTACACAGTATACTACTGGGGGCGTGATGGGCAAACTGTCTACAGTGCCAGGCTAGATGATAGTTTGTTAAACAACTTTTTTTATTTTTAGGTCATAAATTCTGCAAAATAATCACAGAGTTGGTCTGATGTTATGATTATGATCAGTGTTTCATTGAGTATTCTATGGTTAGTTGTTTTCGAGTTAGATTGCAATTCATTGGTCTGATTTTGAGCCAAACGGACTATAGTTGCTGGTACTGTAACGTGCAGTAAACTTGGACAAAGTTCTGTGACTGTGTGTCCCAGTCCACCCGGCTGTGAATGGGTACTTCGTAAGGATGGGAAAGCCACACTAACTCGGTGCGCCTAGTGGATGCAAGAGTTGTATGATCCCAGGGAGTTGAGATTGATAATATGACATGCCGTTGAGATTGACATCCAGTGATCAAGGGAAAAACAAAGCGCCTTTGAGCAGCTGAGCTGGATACCGGCACTATACAAATGTTAGTATGTATACACTTTTTCCATATCAGACTGATAAAAGACACATGACATGGAACTGGTTTCTTTATCAACTACAAATGGATGGCATATTGTTCTTCTATGTGGATATTGATGGATACATTCCTCAAACAAGGTAATAGCCTGATATTGCTATAGTCTGTTCTTATTTTCATAGTTGAATTTTTTTTATACATTCAATAAAATCATTCCACTTCACTTATGGTAAAAACAGTTTCATCATTGAATGTGTTGAGTGACAGCTATATTGTTTTAGTTTAGAGACAGGATACTGTAAGATCACATCCAAGTTTGCAACATGTCTGAATAGAACTCATTCAACATTGTTTAACAGCACATCCAACAGCTTAATGCAAAGCTGTCTCAATCATTATGAATAATTTGGTCATTAGGTACTCTGTTTGATAAGAACCCAATCAAAAGGATGAAATTAAACGTAGCAGCAAAATTTTAAAATGTCAAGCAAGTCTTTCATATAAAACATAAAACCCACTGAGAGAGATTACTGGCCCTATAGCATGTATAGCGTCAGCAATGATCAGGACACGGGCTCAGGTGTTAGGCCACAAGCTGGCAATCAAGGCCCAGGTATTGATTGTGTTGTTGAATTCCATCCATTAGCATGCTTGACCATGTTCATTACCATAGAATGCCATATCTTCAGTGTCTCATTCACTAGACGTTTAGCTCACCACATCTTCAGAACACCTGCGTTTCACAATATCAGTTTGTTGTGTAACACTTAGTGCTGGTATTGGCATACAACCTGTGATACGATACATCACAATGCTAAAATTTTAGTCACGGCGATATATTGCCAAAGTATTGTGCACTGAAGCTAAAACCAATTTTAAAGTATTTTGTAAAATTCCGCCATCGTTGTTCAATATTCATTCGGGAAACGAGATAATTAAGTTTGAACACAGACTTTGTGAATGTTGATAACATGCGAGCGCTATGTCTGACACAGTTCTTGACGCACGAATTTCCGAGAAAACGTTTACTTATGACTGACTGACTGAGTTTAGTTTTATGCCGCTTTTAGCAATATTCCACGGCGGGGGACACCAGAAATGGGCTTAACAAATTGTGCCCACGTTTACTTATGAAGGGAAACTAAGCAAGAATATATTTTAAGCCTGAAATAAAAGTACGTCTTTTTTCTTGATAGATATCGCGATTAGACACTATTCAAAGTTAAACATCGATGTATCGTGGCTCATTCGAAGTATCGTGTTGGGATATACAACAATGTAAACCTTTGTATCGATGAATTGTCACACCGCTAGTTACACTGTACTCAACAATATTCCATCAGTGACCACTGATGACAGTAACGAGGACAAGACTGAGTCTGGAACAGACAATCCAGTGACTGATCTCTTCTAACCCAGAATCCCCATAACAACCAACATAAGTTGTTGGGGATCTATTCTGAGGCATCCCGACTGGGTTTATACTGTAGGATCTAACAGGACTGGTAATGATAGATTTTCAAGCTTCCATTGATTAACATGATAAAATAAGATCTTATAAGCAATTGACAATGTTCACTGTGATTAAAGAACGACATTCACTGTTTCAAGAAAGGAGTTCATTGCACCAGAAGTAACCTACATGTGACCATACATGACATTAATGCAGATGGAACCACACATGTGTAACATATGAATCACAATACAAAACCCTTCTACAGTTACAGTTTACAGACTGTGCTTGCTGTTTATGACCTGTGAATATACCAGTCTTAAAACATTTGTTATGGGGTAGGTTTGCCTCTGTCAGGTAACATTTGATTCAAGACGAATGATAAACATTATGTGAAATATCATCTTTGTTTATATCATGTGTTCACCTTTTACACATATTTGTGTTTACTTCATGAGCAAGGCAGTTCAGTCCGTATGAGATGAAAAGGAAACAATATAGCAGACATAAAAACAGCTGTTATTGAATACCAAAACCCATCTACAAAGGAATAATCACTACTTTACGACATGAAATTGTCGCAATAAAAACATATGTCAGTGAAGGTGATTTGATCGACAGAACAACAGTGGCATATGGCCATGACTTGCACTCCTCGTGTTTACTCACGCTCAGCATATGCGACTGGTATCTCTTGTATAAAACATGTCCTACCTCAATAAATTTTCCATGGCAATAAAATACTGTTCGTAGGTGATCCGAGCTTCCCAAACATACTAATCATGCAATTAAAAAACACAAACACTTACGAATGTTTATTACCGGTCTTCTAAACGTGGCAGACGTCCAGCGGCTGAAACCCCGGAAGTAAACATGCCAGCGGTATCAAGCTCCTTACTGCGTCAGCTGAGCGACACCGCAGAGAAGTTTTGGGTTCACATGGCGGATAATTCAAAAACAAATCGTCATCATTTTTTTTATACCGGAACGAAATCTGGTTTTCAGTAAGAATTTGATCTCACGTACGTAGCTCTGGTCTAGCATTGGACAGTTCAAATGTTGCGAAAATTGCAAACTATCTGTAGAATACGATAAACACCTTTGAAGATGAATACTTTAACTCATTCATTGATGTACGCCAAGGTTGTATATTATGTCCATTATTATATGCCATGTATATTAACCAATTTTATAATGAAATTAACAAAAACAAGAAGACAAAGTCATCCATATCCCCCGCAACAGTGCCAACTTTGACCTGGCAATACAATATTTATATGGAAATTACAACAGGTGAGGCCACGGGTCAATGAGGGTCAACTTGGGTTACTTTAAAGTTTAGTTTTTTTCCAAATTCTTGTGAACGTTTATAATTTTTAGATGTTAACGTGACAGACATATGTATAACCCACAAAAGGCACATCTAAGGATCGTGCCTGGCATGTATTACCAAGTTTGGTAAAGCTAGCATGGAGAGTTTGGGAGATTTTCTCCGGACAAAATGACTTCTTCATGGAGTCACAGTTAAAGTCACGTTTCCATGGAAACCACAAAAAATAAAATTCACACTCTGGCGTATCCCCCAAATGGCACATCTATGGATCATGCTTGATATGTGTACCAAGTTTGATGAAGCTACCATGTCTAGTTTAAGAGATCTGCTCCGGACAAGATGACATTCCCATAGCCACAGTCTAGTCACGTTTCCATGGAAACAGCAAAACATAAAATTCATATCTGGGTCTAAACTCCAAAAGGCACATCGATAGATCATGCTTGACATATGTACCAAGTTTGATGAAGCTAGCACGTATAGTTTGGAAGATCTGCCCCGGACAAGATGACATCCTCATAGCCACAGTCTAAAGCCGCTTTTACATGCACACATTTACCTACAGGAGTAGATTTGCTTATGTAAGTAAATTGACCATGAAAACGTCACAAAACGAATTTACTCACGTAAGTATTTATACTCCTGGAGTAAATTTACACCTGCTCCGTAGGTAAAGTAAAAGTATATTTACTCCTGGAGTATTTTACTCCAGTAGCAAATTGACCTTGTAAATGTCACTTTTGATTTACTCCTGTAAGTAAATGAACTGCATCATATCTTCAAATGTACTATTATTCCATTGTGATTATGTTTATTTATCTTTCATCAAAAGACATAAGTTTCCTTGGAATCGATATGTTTTCACAATCCGTCTTTGTTGCTTTTTTCAATTTCTTTTTGTACGAGCATGTTACATGACATGGATGTTACTTCATTTATGCTAGGGTTACACTATGTTCCCGTGCCACGGCAGCCCCGTTTCACCGAAACTTAGTGCGCCGTGGGATTTTGGCCATCTTTTCCCTCCAAAGTCAAGTTTTCTTCGGTCCTGCTAAGTTTTCTCACGGTCTATGACGGTATCCGTAATGGGCCGTTGGGATAAACGGGCTGCCGAGTCCCGGAAGCTCAAAGGCCCAGTACGGCTCGGCCCGCAGTCCACTACGGATGCCAGTACGTTTCCTCTCGGCCTGTCGCGTTCTGATGGATTCCCTCACGTTTCTCATGTTTTAATCAAGGTTTTGACACGTTTTGCGCGTTCTGTCAAGACTTTCTACGGATGAACGTCAGCTTTGGAGCACGGTTGTGCCCACTGTATAAAAATAAGGCCACCCAACTATAGAAGCCATTGTATCCCCAGAAACAAAAGCAGCATGAACCCCCAAGATGAGGAAGATTTTGTGTTTGTATGTTTGCTGGGGACATACATCGAGTCCATGCGTCAGCAAGAAGGCCAGCATCAGCTGTAGAGAGGGAATACCAGAGAACGCAACCTGCCGTATCTCGCCGGCCCTGTAAACCGTCACACGCCTGGATGCGCCGTGATGGAACGGGACGAATCGGCAACCATACAACCTACCTTGCCGTGAGAACCGGGACATATCGGGCAGCAAGGGTGAAACAACCGTGACAAAACGCCAAACAAACGTGGCCGAACGTGACAAGAACAGTATATGTAGCTTCATAGTACATGTACATAAGTACAGAACAGGTAGCTTCATAGTACATAAGTACAGTAAAGGTAGCTTCATGGTACGTAAGTACAGTATAGGTAGCTTCATAGTACGTAAGTACAGTATAGGTAGCTTCATAGTACATAAGTACAGTATAGGTAGCTTCATAGTACGTAAGTACAGTATAGGTAGCTTCATAGTACATAAGTACAGTATAGGTAGCTTCATAGTACATAAGTACAGTATACAGAACATCATAGTACATAAATTACAGTATAGGTAGCTTCATAGTATAAAGTACAGTAGCTTCATAGTACATAAGTACAGTATAGGTAGCTTCATAGTACATAAGTACAGTATAGGTAGCTTCATAGTACATAAGTACAGTATAGGTAGCTTCATAGTACATAAGTACAGTATAGGTAGCTTCATAGTACATAAGTACAGTATAAATTGCAGTATAGGTGGCTTCATGGTACATAAGTGCAGTATAGGTAGCTTCATAGTACATAAGTACAGTATGGGTAGCTTCATCACAGTACATAGCTTCATTCATAGTACATAAGTACAGTATAGGTAGCTTCATGGTACATAAGTACAGGTATATAGGTAGCTTCATAGTACATAAGTACAGTATAGGTAGCTTCATAGTACATAAGTACAGTACAGGTAGCTTCATAGTACATAAGTACAGTATAGGTAGCTTCATAGTACATAAGTACAGTATAGGTAGCTTCATAGTACATAAGTACAGTATAGGTAGCTTCATAGTACATAAGTACAGTACAGGTAGCTTCATAGTACATAAGGTATCATAGTGCATATACAGTATAGGTAGCTTCATAGTACATAAGTACATAAGTATAGGTAGCTTCATACATAGGTACATAGGTAGTACAGTACATATATATTAAGTATAAGTAGGTAGCTTCATAGTACATAGTACAGTATAGCATAAAGTAGTAGGTAGCTTCATAGTACATAAGTACAGTATAGGTAGCTTCATAGTACATAAGTACAGTATAGGTAGCTTCATAGTACATAAGTACAGTATAGGTAGCTTCATAGTACATAAGTACAGTATAGGTAGCTTCATAGTACATAAGTACTGTATAGGTAGCTTCATAGTACGTAAGTACAGTGTGTCTTAGATCACATTGTCAAATATCATGCTGTTCACAGATATGTAAAATGGTCAAAGGTGATTGTGTATATGCAGTGTTGCATGTACAAATCTGTTGATAAAAGTTAAATTATTGGCAAATAAAGCATGGAAGCAGGACCAGAAGCTGAAGAATTTGGCATAATTAAAATTAGAAAAAGCTATCATTTTTGTTGCTTCATAATATTTAGTTATTTCTGCTTTAATATATCTAATATTCAGAGTTTGCATTTTTTTTTTGGTTTTTCTGTAAATAGCTTCTTTAACCACCAAAACTACAGCATTCAGTGGATTATTGTGTTTGCCTTTGAATCCAAATAGAATATTCTGTAGTGAAAAGTAATTTCACCCTCCAAAACAGTTTTAAGCCATTTTTCAACTTCCTTCCATATCTTTTTCACAAAAAAGCATTCAAACAGCAGGTGTACCATGATCTCTGGATCTTGGCCACAGAATGTACATAAGTGTGATTCAGATATTCCTATCTTGTAGAAAAAGCTGTTTATTGCTAACATATTATTCACTAATTTTAATTGGAACCATCTCATATTCACACTCTCAGTACATATATAAGACATCATATTAATATAGTTTCTTGTTCTGATGTATCAATTTTTCTGTTCAAACACTTTTGACATATTTCTTGTGCAACTGTACTGAAGTCTGGAGCAACAAAAATCTGATAAAACATTTTACAACCCTTTTGTGTATTGATTATTCTGTATACATTAAATGGGAGAGTAGGATTGTATATCCTTTCTTGGTAATCATTAATCAAAATTCGATTCTATTAATATATATCACTACTGTTGTCTTGATCTCTTGATATAAGATAAAATTTGTTTCTAAATTATATGTTTCTACAAGTTCGTTAAAATAATAAATTTCACCATTTTCATTAAACATATCCTTAATAAAACATATACCCTTTCCTAACCAGTCACTATAGTCTACCAATTTGCCACCAATAGAGATATTAGAGTTGTACCATAATGACTGAGTCTTTATGTCAGATATATTTGTAATCTTATCATAGCATTTGGATAGACACAAACCCCATACTGACATAACATCCCTCCTAAACATATTTGTAATGTGTGGCGACCCGTGAAGATCCGGGGTACAATAGGTCTTCAGCAACCCATGTGCTTGCCATGAAAGGCGACTATGCTTGTCGTAAGAGGCGACTAACGGGATCGGGTGGTCAGTTTCGCTGACTTGGTTGACACATGTCATCGGTTCCCAATTGCGCAGATCGATGCTCATGCAGTTGATCACTGGATTGTCTGGTCCAGACGCGATTATTTACTGACAGCCGCCATATAGTTGGGATATTGCTGAGTGCGGCGTAAAACTAAACTCACTCACTCACTGTAATGTATGGCACTAGAGTAGTGTTCATATATACATAATCCACCAACCGATAGTATCTATCCCTTGGATAAAAATTCCACCATGTTTGACCCAATATGACTTACTATACTTTTTATCCATTTTAGTTTTTGTGATAATATAGTTAATTTAACATCAGGTGCCTTAATTCCTCCATATTTAGGTGGTTGTGTCATAACACTTCTCTTGACCCTATCTATCTTACTCCGCCATATGAAGTTAAAACATTTCTTCTGAAAACTATTTAGTTCGTCTGTAGGGTTAGGTAAAGAGCCAAACAAGTGATTCATCTTAGGTAGTGATAGAGATTTCAAAAAAGTATTTCTACCCATAGGTGTTGATAAATGTCTAACTGACCACTGTTTCATTTCTTTTTCAATATTTTCAAATCTCTCTTTATAGTTTAAATTTGCCAATTCTTCTAAATCTGTACTGAAATTTATCCCCAGTAATTTAAAATGTGTCTGACTCCAATCCAAATTCCACTCTTTACGAAGCTTATAGTTAGATCTCTTTTCTGACCCAATCGAATAGTTTTCTCGACATTAACCTTAAGTCCAGAAAATCTTTTAAAAAAGCTCATATTCATAAAGTGAAAATTCACAAAAAATAATTATGGGGGATGCGTGTCATTGATTTGTACATTGGGGGGGGGGGGGAGCCATAAATTATGAACGGTCCTTTACCTTGTCCTTGTATATGTCAATATCTAAATGAAGGAACATAATCCCATACATGTTTACCTGTACAAAGAATCCTGTTCGATGCCACGTGTGCTTCTATATTGTTTCAGGATATCACAACTCGCGCTCGTCTCTGCACTGATCACGGAGTTCGATTGAGTGTATCGGGTGTCAGATCTGATTGTCAGGAGAGCTAGAGTTCACGCAGTTCGCTTGAGATCACGCAGTTCGCTAGAGATCACGCAGTTCGCTAGAGTTCACGCAGTTCGCGAGTACCCACCTTTGTTGGTGCACATGTTTGTCAATCTTGTGTTTGACTCATCTTCGCCATTGTTTTGCTAATTACTAATTGTACAAATTATTCTCACTACATCTAAATATACATTCTTGTAGTATAGTTCACGCTCTTTCTAAACATATATCACATTTTACTGTATATATTCTTATATAGCGCCGTGAATTCTGTTAATGAGCCGGTCAAGTTTAATAATCCAGACTGTCTTCTCCTAAGTCCGAACTGAGGACACTTCTCGTGACTGTGATAACATCACTGGTCCACCTGCTACTGCTTGTCTCCTGGTCATCGCCACTGAAATCCGCCACTTGGATGCGGATTGTGTAGATAGTTTATGTTTTCTGTAGTGCTTGTGTTATTGCTTGGTGCAATATTCTTCATTTCTGTGTTTTTCATCGTACGACCGACTGTGATTTGGCCGCCGACCCGAAACTATTTTTTGTATGTGTTCGCCGACTCGAACTGAGAACCTCCCGTCTTCTCATTCAATGGCTGTCTTCCTGTGTTAGGATATCGCTCGGTCTCTGAATATATACAACGTTGATAGAAACAAACAATTCCATTTACATTTAAAAGGCGGCCAGAGATTCCAACCCTAACCCTGAGCCTGAGGAAATCTAGACTGGATTAACTAAGGGCTGGTGCACTGCAGAAAGGTCTGAGCAGAAGTGAAAATAGAGCGCTTCAAGGACTGTGAGACTGCTTAATCTATTTCTTAAGCAATTTCGAGAACAATCTGTAAGCATGTATTATCAAGAATGGCATTCCTGTCTAGACAATAGTTCAAGATACCAGTTGTATAGATCACATAAGAGCTTAATTCAACCAGAACTATATCTATCTGTATTGACATCTAGAAATATCAGACGCACACTTGTCAAATTTCGATTGGGCCTGTTAGACTTATCAGTAAATAAGGGCAGACGATTTTCAATAGAGAGACGTTTAAGGATATGTCCATTATGTAACTCGGCTAAAGAAGATAAAATTCACTTCGCTCTTGTATGCCCACATTATGCTGATTTAAGAAAAAATATATCCCAAATAATTACCTGTTAAAATATGCTTCATCTGCCTTTGCTTCCATTCTATCCTCCAAAAATGTAATACGTAATCTTGCGCTTTATGTAAAACATGCTGTTTTCCTTTGAAGCAATATCTTATCTGAACTGTAATTTCTTTGTGAAATGTCTATAACATGTGCTGTATATATCCTTGTATTACTTGTATATGGGCCAGAGGCCTTAAGTACAATAAATATCTTTGACTTGACTTTGACAGACTATTCCTGTGTCAGAGCTGGGCTGATGGCTGAAGGTAGAGGACGAGTGAAAATTGACAAGAACGGTGTCCTGGGTATTAACATAGTCCTTTCTTGCCATTCCATTTATTACTACCCTGTCAGATAGTAGTATGTACATTTCTTATAGACCGTGGTGTCTAATCTTGTGACAGTAACATCAAGTCCAATCTATTTTGATGTTCTCTGCTTTCTTTGTTGTTGCCTTGGTTTCAGTACAATCTGTGTTGCGGATTCCAAATCGGCAGATTTGACAACAAATGATTTTGTTGTATCTATTATTATTTCTCGAATACCAAAGAAAATAGAATAAATAGTATTTTGAAGACATCTCGTTTCTTCTGTTCCAGATGCAGATTTCCCACCCCAAATCCTAAATAAGCAGAGTGACGGATGTTTTTTTCTTTTATTATGACGTAGATAGGAACATTTTAATGCTTAATATGTTTTTATATTTGAAACCGACGGACCCAGCTTTAGATCACAGTGGCTACCTGTAACACATAAAGTATGTTTAGGGCATATTGCTTTATAGCAGCTTGTCTTTAATCTTAGATTATATACATGGATGTGGATTAACTTGTGTTTTTCTTTAAGTGGGCTAATTTAGTTTTAATTTCTGGCCAAATGCTTGATTTTCTGTATATGCAGGAAGACACCGAATAGTTACTGTCATCTCAGCTCCTTTAATTATCACTTGGGGATCTACGGAAGTTGAGGCCTTGTCGGATGTGGGGACTGAAATCCCTACCTAGAGTTGCGTCCCTTGGTCACGCCAGAATCCTATGACTGTGTGACTCAGACCCAGCATAACTAAAACAAGGTGTTAAGGGGTTAACCTTTATTCACTCCTTCATGCTCCGTCATTAGCTTTGCACTGAAACACCTAAAATACAATAAACATTCCGCTTCATCGATATAGGTGTGGGCATGTAATAGTCTGTGTTCTGTCTGATATACAACTACCTGTTGTGCGTATTAATGATATAGGGACGGTGGGGTAGCCTAGACGTTAAAGCGTTCGCTCGTCACGCTGAAGACCCGGGTTCGATTCCCCACATGGGTACAATGCGTGAAGCCAATTTCTGGTGTCCCCCGCCGTGATATTGCTGGAATATTGCTAAGAGCGACGTAAAACCATACTCACTCATTCACTATTAATGATATAACGCAGGTTAAAATTCACACTGGATTTTATTCAAGTCGTTTTTACATAAATATTTGTAAACGATAGAGTGTTGAATGAAGAGCACAATCTTCCGTCTAAAACAGGCGGTAACTAAACGACGACATCATGGTTTAACTAAACAGAATTTGGTAAAACGAGACATTATTTGAAATGAGCTGTGACCCGATCCAGTGGAATTGACCAGGATTGATCTGGAACAGACAATCAAAGATCAACATAGTGCAACCAGAACAAGCATACATCGAGTAATCAGTAGTTCGAGACAAATGATGTGTTGATAAACACCACACTGCCGATGGAACACAACTGTCGATATGTCACCAAAGTGTCGTTATAACACAACAGTGTCGACAAAACACAACAGTGATGACACAACACAACTGTTAATAAAACGTCACAGTGTCGATATAACACAAGTGTCGGTATGATAGCACAGTGTCGATATGTCACCAAAGTGTCGTTATAACACAACAGTGATGACACAACACAACATTGTTAATAAAACGTCACAGTGTCGATATAACAGTGTCGGTATGACAGCACAGTGTCGATATAACACAAGTGTCGGTATGACAGCACAGTGTCGATATAACACAACTGTTAATAAAAACGTTGTAGTGTCGATATAACACCAGTGTCGGTATGACAGCACAGTGTCGATATAACACAACTGTTAATAAAACGTCACAGTATCAATATAACACAAGTGTCGGTATGACAGCACAATGTCGATATAACACAACTGTTAAAAAAACGTCACAGTGTCAATATAACACAAGTGCCGGTATGACAGCACAATGTCGATATAACACAACTGTTAATAAAACGTCACAGTGTCAATATTACACAAGTGTCGGTATGACAGCACAGTGTCGATATAACACAACTGTTAATAAAACGTCACAGTGTCAATATTACACAACAGTGTCGGTATGACAGCACAATGTCGATATAACACAACTGTTAATAAAACGTCACAGTGTCAATATAACACAAGTGTCGGTATGACAGCATGGTGTCGATATAACACAACTGTTAATAAAACGTCACAGTGTCAATATTACACCACAGTGTCGGTATGACAGCACAGTGTCGATATAACACAACAGTGTTAATAAAAGATTACAGTGTCAATATAACAAGTGTCGGTATGACAGCACAGTGTCGATATAACAACAGTGTTGATATACACAAAGGCGTTGACATAGTGTTTGAAACAGAAAATCAATGAATGCTTCGCTCTCTCCAACCCAGAATTTAGAAGCCGATTGGCTGGTTATTAGATTCATGGACACGACCATCCATGGAGTGTTGACTCACAAAGGTTTCATATGGAAAGAGCGATCCGATAGTTTTTACATTTTAGAAACCGTAAGGATTTCAACTAAAAAAACAGATCTTAGTTCTGGCGTGGCAGTGAAAACGGTGCGATCTGATTATTACGAGATGGGATTCACGTTTGACGACATGGCTTATTCTAATGTTTTCCCTTATTTCACTTTGTGCAAACTAAATGCTGAATGGTCAAACACCTGTCAGCTCTCAATATGTTGACACAATGTTTTTGAAAGACTAAAACGGGGGCGTCCTTAAAACAGCCCCCGTCTAAATATAAATCAAGCAATCCAAATCTCTGACTGTTGATTATGACGGGAAGTCATCCAATACTATACTGAACATATTTTATATATTATCTGAGGGTTTACCATAATCCAAGAATTACCAAATAATAGATCGTTCTTCATTTTCTGCAATACTTTTACAGAAATGTTATACCGCATTGTCCTTTGGTGACTAATATTTCGATAACCACATTACCCACATTCGTGAAATTTTGGATATGGCTTTGACTAATGCTTCCTTCTTAATAAAACTTTTCAAACACTTGACATCGAGAATATAGTTAGGGCAACTACTTGTTGACCGACCCTCGTACAACAAGTGACTAAATTGGGACGATACATTCTTCGTAACCCGGATGAGACTCAGGCTAGAACAGTACAAGTTTTGTACTTTATGAGTCCGAATTCCTGATATGTACTAGAAAATGGTAATCCCAAACATAAAAGTTGTTTCATTTGACCACATTCTATCAGGCATTGTGTATTCTAACATTGGAAACGACTGGGAATGTTAATAGCCTTTCTCCTTGACACTTCCATGTACAGAACCATACATGCTTTTTGTTGGACCGGCTACAGCAAATTGTTATTTCAGGGTAAGTTTTCAATTGGTTAAGACCATTCATTCCTCTTCACATTCCTCCGCACCAAACCCACAGGCATCAACATTTGATATAATGGCTTCGACAAACACTATGTAAGACTTACCACCTATTTATCTAAATGCACGGTGACCAAAAGTGTGGTGTGGGACTTGAGGGGCGTGGTGGCTTCCCACGGTGCCGCCGCGCCCAGGGATTCCCGATCCAACGCCAGTCTTCTCTGGAGCAGCAGCGAATCCCCCGAGTCCCTGGGTTCCGATGCCATGGCCCCTGTTTCCGATGGTGGGGAGATGATGTACAGACGGGTTGGTATTGGGCTCGTTACGTGTGTTTCCCTCAGGGACAGCTGTAGAAACTTCAGCTTCGTCCTCGCTACCATCGACGTCATCATCTTTCTGATGGAGATTGTTGCCGTTGTGTTGTCTCTGCTTCTCTTCTTTCTCAAATTCAACGAAGTAGGCCACGATTGATCGCAGGATGGTTGTCAGCTGGGCATCATCTTTCATGGCCACATACCTTTCAATGAATTTATCTACTAACTTCATCGCGGCAGCAGGTTCTACATTCGCATTGTGTGAGGATGCTGGGGACTCGCCTTGGAACTCCTCTTCGAAGTGCACATCTGGTTGAGTGTCGCTCGCTTTGGCCTCGAAAAATACCAGCATGTTAGCAAGATCAGCGAGAGCTCGGGTCTGTTTGTGTGACTGAAGTGTCTGAACCAGCTTCAGTGCATGTCCTTTGACAGACTCCACAGTGACTAGGCCTTCTACGTCAGTTTCTAGATGCTCTCTCTGGTGGCCATGGTGACCGGTAAACGAATGAAGGATTTGGGCAATGATTTTCAACTCGTGATGTCTTTCAGATTTGTCAGCATTGTTTTCGATTTCTCCAAATACTTTGTTTACAAGAGCTGTGACCGATTCAGCGGTTGCTGGAGGACCATCTCCATGGTGATGATGACGCTTGTGCTCGGTATGAAGAGGGTCTATAGAGAAATGCTTCTCAAACTTGTCCAGCAGATGCTCCATCTCTGCAAGAGATGTTTGTATTTCCTCTTCGCCATGTTCAGCTAGGAGTTTGTCGACCATTCCCAGAGCAAATCCTCGGGCGTATTCAAGGGTAGGATCTTCAGTGTAACTGCCTTGTAACTTGTGAAACTCTGAATATTCGAAGCCATGAAGATAATGGAGCATGACCCTCAGTGCTCTTTCAGCGTGTGTGTCATTGGCAGCTTCTAATTTGTCAAAGACCATGTTGATATGGGCTTTGATAGCTCCAGAAGGAATGAATGCAATCTCACCGTCTTTGAAAACTTGTTCCGCTTCGATGTTGTCCAAGAAAACTAAAAAGCTGTTGATCTGCTGAGGATTCATGTTTTCAAGAAAGCTCCTGACGTGTGACCTAATAGATTCTGGAGTAAATTCAAAGTCATCTTGCTGAGTGAAGGATTCGGTGCTCTCTAGCTGGTCAGTGCCTTCTGTGTGTTGGTGCTGTCCATGGTGACCTTGGTGGTGTTGTTTCTGTGTAGACGTACTTGTGACGCCGTTAGTGTGCTCAGGCCGGTGTCCATGAGTGTGTTCCTGTGCTGTGCCGTGACCCCCATGGTGATTTGTGCCGTGACCTCGTTTACCATGAATCTTTGAATCTGGATTGTGATGTATTCCGCCATGGTTGCCTGCTGCGCCATGATGACTGTGATGCTGATCCTGAGTTCCGTGGTGATGATGGTTAGACGTGACCTCGCCATTTTCTATTTGCTTAGCGACCTGTCTGAGATGTGATTCCATATTTTCTCCCCCGAACCTTGTTACTAGATCTTTCCGTAAGTCCTCCTCAGCAGTTCCTTCCACGTTGCCAGAATCCTGAAGTTCCTTCAAGAGGAACTCTAGAATGGCCTCGGTCCAACTTCCACCGTTCTCATCGTCTGCCTTTGATTCGGCATACTTGATGGCGTCCACCAGGAAGTCTCTCACGACCCTTTGAACTTCCTCGGCCGCCGCTGAACTGTATGGAGCTTCTGTTGTAGAGGGGAACGATGACGTATCACGCTTATTGCGGAGTTCAGATACTTCCGGTGATGCGTCACGCCTGGATCGGTGTATAGGTATTTCCGGTGATGCGTCACGCCTGGATCGGTGTATAGGTATTTCCGGTGATGCGTCACGCCTGGCTCGGTTTGCATGACGCCGTTGTCTATCGACACGACGTGACTGTGTTTCGTCTGGCAACGTCAACAGACACACCAACGTGGCTGTTAACGTCAGCAACGACAAAAGACCTCTCATTGTCTGAAACAAACATGGCGTGGTTATGAACACAACTTTCCTATTCTGACATCAATACATATTACAGGAAATGATTAGGAACTTTCGACTGAGGAATACATGGCTGTTGGGGTTGTCAGGGATACCGAGTTCAACGACGCTTCAGACTGAACCTGTGTTCCAAAATGACCCTCTGTAAGAGAAAGGCCAGTGACGTACAGAACATCTGAATAAAGACACACTGAACCTCCACGTCTACATACCCTGCAAATATTCTCTATTGATCTCATTTTTAAGGGGCGGTTAGGTAACCAAGTAATTAAAGCGTTTGCTCGTCACCACGAAGACCAGGGTTCGATTCTCTACATGGGTACAAAGTGTGAAGCCAATTTCTGGTGTTCCCCGCCGTGATATTGCTGGAAAGGGCGTAAAACTAAACTCACTCACTCTCATTTTAAATAGATTTTTTTTTAAAAAGTATACACCAAAATCCGTTGGTGTGAAAACCTCGCCTTTCAGGCATTTACTGTTTTAAACGTTTATATATTATCAGCAGAAAGGATGTTACTATTTCGCCATGGTGTATCAATCTGCAAAAGACGAGGAAGAAAAAGAACAAATTTGCGGACAATTTCAAAATACAGGCATAATAAGGATTACAAAAATGGCTGACGTCAGCCTTTTCTCTTTTTTACACTTCCAATTGTTTATTCTGACATGAGTATCGATCTACGCATTTGGGATATGATGACGTGTCAACAAAGTCATTCTGTTGGTCTCTTCTTACGACAAGCATTCTAACGTAGTTTTTCAAGTGTTCGAACTTTTAAGCGTATATAAAATAAATACATTGTATCCATATGTTAGCAAGATTGTTGGATTAATGACAGGTTAAAAGATGAGAAACGAGTTACGTACAATGAAGGCGAAGTTACTGGACTTGGTATGAAAAGAATGGTAACATTGTCAGTGACTGAGTAGGTTTAGTTTCACACCGCTTTTAGCAATGATCCAGCAATATCACATGAGATTGTTTAACCAACTGTTTGTTTTGTTTCATATTCGTCTCTTCTTCTGTCAGTTGTACCAATACTCACAGTAAATATCTGACCCACTTCACACTGAGCCCACTGGAAAACTGAAATCACCCTCATTACCAAACACATTGCCATGATATCCACCTAACATGAGGGCATTGTTTTATGGACACTTTACATTTATTGTCGTATATCTGTATCCTACCTTAAACACAGAGACAACCAACACGTCCAAGCTCAATCTCCCCCAAATACCCCTCCATCCCCGCTCACCCAAAAATAAACCTGAAAAACATTAACAAACCCCTACACCCTCGCCAGAAGTTTGGAAGCTTTTTCAAAATCAATTATTCATCTTTCTAATAGAAGTGTTCCTGAATCTGAAAGTATTACTGGGTAATTACTTACCAATGCTAAAGAAGTGAATCTGCTCGTGTGTGTGGTATATACTGGAATGGCTTTGTACTCTACCCATAAGCTGATTTTGAATCTGCCCAAAACGAGGCTCCAACCCACGATTTCAGGCTTAAATGACAATTGTAGTCACGTGGAAATACATCGATACTATATATCTAGAAATAAATCTGATATCTGATATTTGCGATGAGCCATTGTGTACACGAAACGTAAATTTAAGCTATCCTATTGTCAGTTCATTTCTCCCCTCACCAAGTCTTGAAGTCAAGCAACGTTGGGCGCGGAGAGTCGTTGGATGGGTGACCATGACTTGAAAGCTTGCCTCCTGAGAGTTTCTAGGACTTCAGTCACACCCCACAACGAAACACATGGGATACATGTGGTCTCACCTTCTCAATTGCCCCTGTCCATCCAGCAGAAAATGAGTAATGAAATAAGTCATGAGACTATCAATCTTCCAGCGCTATAGAGGCAACTTGGGTTATCCAGGGTAATAATGATCACATTGTGCTCTTTGAGCAGGATGTACGCCCGGAAAAGGCGCGTTATAAATTTTCTCATTATTATTCTCATTATTATCCCGGGCGCCGGGGGTAGCCTGGTGGCTTGGTTTGTTTGTTGTTTTACGCCGCACTCAGCAATATTCCAGCTATATGGCGGCTGTCTGTAAATAATCGAGTCTGGACCAGACAATCCAGTGATCAACAGCATGAGCATCGATCTGCGCAATTGGGAACCGATGACATGTGTCAACCAAGACAACGAGCCTGACCACCCGATCCCGTTAGTCGCCTCTTACGACAAGCATGGGTTACTGAAGATTAATTTCTAACAAAGCACGGGTTGGTAGCCTAATGGTTAGAGCGTTCGCTTGTCACGCCAAAGACCAGGGTTCGGTTGCCAACATGATTACAACGTAATGGTCCTGCCGTAAAGATCACCCTGCCACGGAGGAGTCTAGGAGTAGCTGAATCTATTTACCCGTGAGACTTTCATCATCTGTGAACCTCACTAGTTGCAATCTACAGGTAGCTAGGTTATTGTAGAAACCTCTATAGTTGTAATTTACAATTAAACGTAATCTGTGTTCTATCCCCCCTCCCCCAACAACAACAACAACAACAAACAAACAAACAAAAAAACAAAATCCCAAATAACAACTTTCACCACAACTTGTCCACGTACGGAAAGGTCTGAGGTCTATCTCACCATGTAATCAGATGTTCTCCGTGAACAATGTCGTCTTTGGGAAGGTCACCTGGAGCTACTCGGCTGACATTCTAGCCTGGAGTCAAGTGATAATGTAGACTCTGGCGTATAGATACACCACGGAGCCTCCTTGTCATGAAGATCGTTTTCTTTTAATCTAAGACCACGAGTCACGCACTGCACGATGGATCGTCCCAATCTTCACCATCATGAACATGAAACCTGAAACTTATATGCTTTTGAATGTAGCTGTAAAAGTTCTTTTCAGTCAACCTGAATAATTTAAGTTCTTAGACATTATAATGCTTCCAAGAGCTACGTGAATATTGATTTACTGTTTACTTTTTCTTAAACGTTTGGAACATTACGAGATTACACGTATAGCTGATGTTCTCGAATGAACTACGAAGTGTTCTAAACAGCATATCAGGTCGAGATTACAAGTCCGCCGCAAGGTTCCTGAAACGGCTACTGAAGTCGAAAAGTAGAGTTAAAATTAACGAAGTTTTGGTAAACCTGCTCATCTTTGTACAGAGCGAACAGATGAAAGATATCGATAACTAAATATACCCCAGGACACCTGCTACACAACTGAGAGTGAGTGAGTTCATTTTTACGCTGCGCTCAGCAATATTCCAGCTATATGGCGGTGGTCTGTAAATAATCGAGTCTGGACCAGACAATCTAGTGATCTACAGCATGAGCATCGATCTTCGCAATTGGGAACCGATGACATGTGACAACCAACTCAGCAAGCCTGACCACCCGAACCCGTTAGCATGGGTTACTGAAGATCAATTATATCCCGGATCTTCACGGGTTATATAACGGAGAAGACTTTGCACGATACCGATTTTTCTTTATTTTCTTTCTTTAATTGGACTGTCATAATTGCAGCAGGTCGCGATGGGCTCGTTGAACTGTCACCATTGTGCCAAGACAACCCAGTGAACTGTCACCATTGTGCAATGACAACTCAGTGAACTGTCACCATTGTGCAATGACAACTCAGTGAACTGTCACCATTGTGCAATGACAACTCAGTGAACTGTCACCATTGTGCAATGGCAACTCAGTGAACTGTCACCATTGTGCAATGACAACTCAGTGAACTGTCACAAATGTGCGATGACAACTCAGTGAACTGTCACCATTGTGCAAAGACAACCCAGTGAACTGGCACCATTGTGCAATGACAACTCAGTGAACTGTCACCATTGTGCAATGACAACTCAGTGAACTGTCACAAATGTGCGATGACAACTCAGTGAACTGTCACCATTGTGCAAAGACAACCCATTGAACTGTCACCAATGTATGATGCCAACTTAATGAACTGTACCCTTTGTGCAATGACAACTCAGTGAACTGTAACCAATGTGTGATGACAACTCAGTGAACTGTCACCATTGTATGATGACAACTCAGTGAACTGTCACCATTGTGCAATGACAATTCAGTGAACTGTCACCATTGTGCAAAGACAACCCAGTGAACTGTCACCATTGTGCAATGACAACTCAGTGAACTGTCACCATTGTGCAATGACAACTCAGTGAACTGTCACAAATGTGCGATGACAACTCAGTGAACTGTCACCATTGTGCAATGACAACTCAGTGAACTGTCACCATTCTATGATGCCAACTTAATGAACTGTACCCTTTGTGCAATGACAACTCAGTGAACTGTAACCAATGTGTGATGACAACTCAGTGAACTGTCACCATTGTGCAATGACAACTCAGTGAACTGTCACAAATGTGCGATTACAACCCAGTGAACTGTCACCATTGTGCAATGACAACCCAGTGAACTGTCACCATTGTGCAATGACAACTCAGTGAACTGTCACCATTGTATGATGCCAACTTAGTGAACTGTAACCTTTGTGCAATGACAACTCAGTGAACTGTAACCAATGTGTGATGACAACTCAGTGAACTGTCACCATTGTATGATGACAACTCAGTGAACTGTCACCATTGTGCAATGACAATTCAGTGAACTGTCACCATTGTGCAAAGACAACCCAGTGAACTGTCACCATTGTGCAATGACAACTCAGTGAACTGTCACCATTGTGCAATGACAACTCAGTGAACTGTCACAAATGTGCGATGACAACTCAGTGAACTGTCACCATTGTGCAAAGACAACCCAGTGAACTGGCACCATTGTGCAATGACAACTCAGTGAACTGTCACCATTGTGCAATGACAACTCAGTGAACTGTCACAAATGTGCGATTACAACCCAGTGAACTGTCACCAATGTCCAATGACAACTCAGTGAACTGTCACCATTGTGCAATGACAACTCAGTGAACTGTCACCATTGTATGATGCCAACTTAGTGAACTGTAACCTTTGTGCAATGACAACTCAGTGAACTGTTACCAATGTGCAATGACAACTCAGTGAACTGTCACCATTGTGCAATGACAACTCAGTGAACTGGCACCATTGTGCAATGACAACTCAGTGAACTGTCACCATTGTGCAATGACAACTCAGTGAACTGTCACAAATGTGCGATTACAACCCAGTGAACTGTCACTAATGTGCAATGACAACTCAGTGAACTGTCACCATTGTGCAATGACAACTCAGTGAACTGTCACCATTGTATGATGCCAACTTAATGAACTGTAACCTTTGTGCAATGACAACTCAGTGAACTGTAACCAATGTGTGATGACAACTCAGTGAACTGTCACCATTGTGCAATGACAACTCAGTGAACTGTCACCATTGTATGATGACAACTCAGTGCACTGTCACCATTGTGCAATGACAATTCAGTGAACTGTCACCATTGTGCAAAGACAACCCAGTGAACTGTCACCATTGTGCAATGACAACTCAGTGAACTGTCACCATTGTATGATGACAACTTAGTGAACTGCCACCATTGTGCAATGACAACTCAGTGAACTGTCACAAATGTGCGATGACATCTCAGTGAACTGTCACCATTGTGCAAAGACAACTCAGTGAACTGTCACCAATGTGCAATGACAACTCAGTGAACTGTCACCATTGTGCAATGACAACTCAGTGAACTGTCACCATTGTGCAATGACAACCCATTAAACTGTCACCATTGTGCAATGACAACCCAGTGAACTGTCACCAGAGTGCAATGACAACCCAGTGAACTGTCACCAGAGTGCAATGACAACTCAGTGAACTGTCACCAGAGTGCAATGACAACTCAGTGAACTGTCACCATTGTGCAATGACAACCCAGTGAACTGTCACCATTGTGCAATGACAACTCAGTGAACTGTCACCATTGTGCAATGACAACCCAGTGAACTGTCACAAATGTGCAATGACAACCCAGTGAACTGTCACCAATGTGCGATGACAACTCAGCGAACTGTCACCATTTTGAGATGACAACTCAGTGAACTGTCACCAGAGTGCAATGACAACCCAGTGAACTGTCACCATTGTGCAATGACAACTCAGTGAACTGTCACCAGAGTGCAATGACAACTCAGTGAACTGTCACCAGAGTGCAATGACAACTCAGTGAACTGTCACCAGAGTGCAATGACAACCCAGTGAACTGTCACCAGAGTGCAATGACAACCCAGTGAACTGTCACCATTGTGCAATGACAACCCAGTGAACTGTCACCATTGTGCGATGACAACCCAGTGAACTGTCACCAGTGTGCGATGACAACCCAGTGAACTGTCACCATTGTGCAATGACACAGTTCACCGAGTTGTCCTGACACATTTGTGTCTCAGTAGATGTGTGCGTGCGTTTCCAAGATTCCACAGCTACAGTACTGTCACGTGTACTATCTCCGTCATTATTCCAACTTAGGCAAAGAAAAAACAACACACATCACTAACATAATGATTTTGTCTTTTATTTGCAAAGATGGTCCATTACACAGACGCTGACATATGGCCGTGGCTCCTTCGCCTGGGGCGCCACATATAAAAGTCACAATTTCAACACTATGTGCTCTCTCATGATTTGGTCAGAGACTAACATTATCAACTTCCAGTCCTATATGCCTAGGGCATGTGTTCCCTGACCTAATCTCAACACCAAACATAAAACTTGTGTGAAACACTACAATAAGAGTAAAATTGTCATTTGGGTTAGAAAACAGTTCCAGAAACTAGTATCCTCAAATTGTCTTTGATTGATATTACCCAGAGTAAATATCACGCAAGTCATGAAGACATGTCACTTGACAATTTTTCTGTAATAATCGGGCATCCAGGTTAAGGGCTTCCACTGTTGTTGGAGAGACCCTGGCTATGGATGTGAGAGAAAGGAAATATCTGTCTGAGCACTACATTCTTAAAGGGACTCTCTGAGGTAACTGGTACTGTACCAAAACTTTTACACAGTTTTATGAAAGTCTTACAGCCATACTGAAATAGTATGTACTGGCTTCTTGGAATAATTCACATTTGTATCTCCTTTCAGTCATTTTGACCCATCTTTATACAACCTGCAGAACCCCTTTAAATAATCTGCAGAGGCCCTTGGAACAAAATACCCACAGAACCCTGTTAAATAACCTTCAGAGCCTCTTTAAATAGCCTGCAGAATTCCTGTACACAAATGTCTGTATTTCACTGGCTTGTGATTTTTGTCCCTCCAGACCTAATGGCATAAACACAAGAAGCTTGTCCTTTCTCTTACTGATTTTTCTCAAACCTTCAAGACTAATCATGTCCTCGTTGGAATATTTCAAACCATCAACTTCCGGTAAATTTATTTTCCATGTTACCATTTACTACAAGGCGGAACCATTCTGACAAAAGCTTGGCAAGATGTGTAGATTGAAATAACCTCCGGATTTCTGGTTTTACAAGACCCTGCAATGTAGAATGTAGTATTGACAAGATTCCTGGACTTCTACCAAATTTGATCCCCACAGCAAGAAAAACATCTAGAATCATTCAGGATACTATTAATCACTGGCAGTGGTTTGATCATTAAGGAATTTGGACATTATAAAAAGATTTCACAAGAAACAGAAACTGGTAAATCTCCAGGTAACATTCCATTCAACAAAACCAAAAAAAGAAACCTCCATTTATAGTCACGTCTCAGCTCAAAGACCAATCATTCCTCCACTGAGGTGCCAGGATTTCATTAAAAATACTTGCTCTCATAGTGAATGACGTTCCATGAATTTCTTCCAGAAATAACAGTAAAACGTTGAAAAGAAAAAATGATCCAGAAACTGCCAAAACAATCTGGCTTACTGAGCCCCGATGATTGACCACAGAATGTTTTAACATGACTTCTCTACAGGTATAAACTCCTTTGAAATTGACCCCGAATCCCTACCTCTACATGTACCAGTCACTCAGGTCAGTTTACAAGAGTAATACTGGTATTCTTACTGACAACTCTCTGTTTTGATCTGCTCATAAACTGACATGGTGGTAAAAGTTAACTCAACACAGATTACAATCTCTGTTCATATCATTAGAATATTCACATGGGTTCCTACATAATATAATCTGTTCCTACTGCTACACAAGCTTAGTGAGCCCTCCAGGAACTTGTCTTCATGGAAACAGCTTCCTTGTTTACATGTTCCTTCAGAGGATGATTGGTTTAAAAGAAAATGAAAAGCTGAAACTGCAATCCCCCATTAAGCTTCTGACAATGTCTGAATGTTAGATTCAAATTGTAAATGATACATCCGGGCCGTGTTCAACAAAGCAATCTTAGCATAAGGTCTTCATGGTCTGTAACTACAGGAGTCACAGCGCTGGGATTAGATCTATAACTACAGGAGTCACAGCGCTGGGATTAGATCTATAACTACAGGAGTCACAGCGCTGGGATTAGATCTATAACTACAGGAGTCACAGCGCTGGGATTAGATCTGTAACTACAGGAGTCACAGCGCTGGGATTAGATCTATAACTACAGGAGTCACAGCGCTGGGATTAGATCTGTAACTACAGGAGTCACAGCGCTGGGATTAGATCTATAACTACAGGAGTCACAGCGCTGGGATTAGATCTGTAACTACAGGAGTCACAGCGCTGGGATTAGATCTATAACTACAGGAGTCACAGCGCTGGGATTAGATCTGTAACTACAGGAGTCACAGCGCTGGGATTAGATCTGTAACTACAGGAGTCACAGCGCTGGGATTAGATCTGTAACTACAGGAGTCACAGCGCTGGGATTAGATCTTTGAGAGAACAAGACTCTGGGCCCAGGTCAACAAAGATATGTTAGTACTATGACTACCTTTACATACGTTTACACTAATACAGACATTAGCTGAAGCACTAAAACTGCTTTGTGAAGATGGCTCACCACTGACCAACACATTGACTCAATTATCAAGGCATTCAACCGCATATGGTACAAAAAGTATGACTTGGTCAAACGACTTTCACAGCAACAAAGAAGAGATAAAATATGAAAACACTGAGATATCACGGTTCTCAGAATCAGCATAACTGTATCTACAATGACATACTGGACTCTTAATGATGAACAATGACGATTCCTGTACAAATAAAACTGTTAAAACTTTAATTTCATTCATTCTGAACAATAAACTAACCAACATATAATGAAGCCAACTACAGCCCTGAAACCCATCATGTTGAACAAAAACCATCAGTGACCAACCGTCTCCAGCAAGCCACTGTCACAATACTATGCTGTCGTCTCGAAGGAACAGTCACATTTATTCTGTACAACATGAACGTTTATAAAAATAACACTAAACAGAATATTGTCCTAACAACATGTTTATCATGAAACATACTCCCTTGGGATTTGCAAAATTTATTGATACAAACTTTGTTGTTAGGCAAACAGTATATTTGACAAAGATTAGTAAATACTATGAAAGCAAAACTAGTGTTAACTAAATACTAAAAAAGATGATAAAAGTGGAAGAGACATCGGTCCTAAAATGGCAATGTTAGCTCCCAAGAGCTGACACAAAGAAAAGTGATACTTTTATAAAAGTGGTTTCACTGCAAACTAAAAGCAACTATATTCCTCTCAAGTATCCATGAACAAATATTCTTCCACATTCAAACTTTAACTATATATCTCCCACGTCCACCAATTACTTGATGAAAGTTGATGAAAATAAACTTTGATCAAATAATATTCACATGAAATGGAACATGACTTGTATTTATTGCAGGCAAAACTATGTAGCGGTGAAAAACTCTTATTTCAAATTATGTTACAGATAACTTCATCTACAGCCTGACGACTTTTATCCCCAGACAATAAAATAATAACAAATTAATGAAAGCTTTGAAATAAAACGTTGTCACCTGAACAACACTGTTAAAACCTTAATGGAGAAAACCTTTTACTGAAAGCTGTTGAAACGTTTTGATAGAGCATCCATTTACACGAGAATCATGGATGAAGTTTGACAGTCTATTTGTTGATAGGAGACATGAATGAAACAATGTCACAATACAATATGTCAAAAACTGTTCAAGTCAATAATCCTCGCATTGAGAGAGAGAGAGGCGGAATCTTAAATAAAAATAATCTTGGTTCGGTCGAGAAAACAGTCTCTTGTTTCTCATTACACATTCAGCTTACACCATGCTGGGTCAGACATTCAATTGGACTTAGGTCCACAGCAAGGGCAGATAACTCTAAAACATTTGGGAAAAATTGCAATCAACCCAAGAAAAGCCAATATTACTGCGCATCATCAATTCATTCAAACCCAAACCACAAAAACCAGATACAAAGGATTTATGTTTCTCAGTCAGCATTATGCTAAGAATGTATACTTATCATGTTTTTTTAACAAATTTCCACGTAAAATATTTTTTTTACTTTTATGCTATCATGGAAACAGTGAAATGTGCATTACAGCAGATTTCAGTTATCTCCCTTTGAATGTCTTCACAGAACGTTTCACTGCATAGATGACGTGCCTGTTTTACACAGGTGCTGTGCATTGACCTGAGATGAGTATTATGCAAACTTCACTCTTCCTGACATCTAATTATGTTTATGAAATTATTATCGCAAAAGTTGTAACCGAAACCTCTGAGTATAACATCACTGAAATAATTGAATATTTCCTGGTTGAGAGAGGTAGATGCTGCAGTAAACTTGTTACCAAAACAGTAAACAAAGCAAACAAATAAAGAGTATGTACAAAGAACATGCCGAACACTGCCTCCAGCTTCCATTGTCTATAGTCACTTATAAACACGCAGGGATCACAGCGGCCGAGGCTGCCGCCACGCCCTTGGTTACGGCTCATCGTCAGTCTGTCATCCCTGTTGATGTGACAAATGACATGAAGGAACCTGGAATGTTTACCTCTCATTCTGTACAAAAGTTGAAATTCATAAAATAGCACTTTTTAGCACATTTCAATAAAAGCACCTGAAATGAACAAAATCCCCATTTGGGAGAGAAGATGAATCTTCCCATGCCTGTGACACAGTATCCTCATTTCTTGGCAAAGCTACTTGTAAACTTCAGTAAAGCTACTTGTAAACTTCAGTAAAGCTACTTGTAAACTTCAGTAAAGCTGCAGCCTAGCATGTCTGATGGACGTAAATTAGGGAAAACTGAAGGAAAATACTTCCAATATTTGGACACAAATACAACAAACAAGTCCGTGAGTGGCTGTGAAGAAGCAGTTCAAAAGTTCCTATCGGAAAGACTCTGTATGTTTCCAGGCAGACCCCCATCCTGAATATATTAAAACTGAAAATGTTAACTTCCTTTATAAAAATAGTTCCTTCAGAAAGATCACGCAAATCACATTGCCACTGTATAAACTGTCTCAACAGATATTCTACAGCGACACAACGCCCAAGGATGGTTTATGAACTGTCATGGTCTTTCTTTACACGCTGTACAGATCTATCCAACACGGAACTTATGACAGCTTCCCTCATGTCTGGAGCTCACTCCGCTGGTCACCGACACAACACACCTCCCTTTCACAGTCGTTCCCGCCATCAGAACACAACTACCAAGTCAGACCGATGTCCAAAACATGTGTGATGTTTTCAGTCTCTGTCTGCATATTTGACCGGCCTAAGTCCACCTTGCTCTCTTGACTCTACTCACTAGCTTCAGTGAATACTCAACCCAAGATAATCTCGCAGAACCAACTCTACCAAACAAAAGGTTTCTTATATATACAGGCATCCATGGAATGTAAAGATTTGGTGTAAAATTTACCCAATCTTAAACTGGATGTACCGATTTTTTTACGCTTTCTTAGAAACAAAATGTATTAAATAAATTCTTATCTGATCATTTTTTTCAAAGGAAATATTTACATTTCCTAAACCTTTTGTTTCATAATTGGTGATCGAAATCGAAACTGCTACGAGATGTCACCGAATGGTGACGATTATGGGTCTGTCTACCACTGAATACTACTCTAGTAAATGTCCAACAAGGCCACGTTACTTAGTGAAAGGGAGGCTGTCTGTGAGCCAATCAAGTCTGACCACTGTAACATGTGACTTACACAAGTTGCGGTCATAAATAAGGGGAGTCCAGCTTTTCGGGGAAGAAAACTAATTGTCTTGAGATTATATTGCGGATGCACACACACGTAAACAAATTGTTCACTGAACACATTGCCTGAAATGATTAATCAAGAAATTCATTTCATAGAACAAAGACATCTAGAAAATGGCCAAAAATTCAGACTCCCAGATCCATTTCCGCCCCCTACCCAATGCTGACCCCAACTAGATATCGTGCAAGATAATAATTGATGTTGTGATTATTTTAAAAAAAACACAACTTATGACTTACTGACTTATGATTTTTACTAGTCTCAGGCATGGGAAAACTATTCTGATAAGTCAGTGGTAGAACTGTTCCTGGTCAAAGGTCAAAGGTCAAGAGTAGGACTCGTTCTAGTTGTATCCTTGACCTTGACCTTCTCTCTACCCTCCTTCTCTCCACACTGACATATCTACACATGTGAACAAGAAATAAATCAAAAGTTTCCACACAGTTCATCCTATTGTCTGTTTCCTGTCAATTCAAATCATGTGCAACAAAGCAATTTCATGTGTAACATAAATAAAACTTTGTGTAAATAAAGTAAATGGCTTCATTTGGTCATCGGCCATCAAACATGTAGGTCACACCACCTTTTTCTGTATACAATGCATGAACCCTAGAACCAAATAAAAACCTTTATCAGGTTCGATGGGTTTATATGAAACATGTCTGTGTGCCATTCTGTCTTGAAGAAGTTCAGCTTCCCACAACACTGTCTGATCAACCAATTGCATGAGTGAGTGAGCGAGTCAGGTTTATGGTGGTTCTAATAATATTGCTCATAAATGTCGTTGATGCCAAGTACTGTAAATCATGAAATGAATGTTTCATAAAGTCAATGCAGGTTCTGTGCTCTCGTCTAAAATATGTCACAAAATGTTTGTGAGTATATCTACATTACAAGTATTTATACACAGGTAAGCACAATCCTTAACCTAAACGAGCAAAGTCGTGAACTCAACACAACCGCTGGTACTGAACTGGACTATTCCACACAGTGGGCTATCTTTTGTTTCCTTGTAATTATAAGAATACTTGACAAGTTTACCAAGAGCAAAGAGACAGTTGTACATGGCTGACAATCACCTTGACAGTTGACAACACTTGACAAGGTTCTTCTGGACAAGCACTGACTCGAGATTACTGTTTATTTGGAGTTTATTCATTGTTTCAAAGTTTCGTGAACTGACATGACAATAAACTCCAGTATATTCAGTCAATAAATCATCAGTTTACAGATGAGATCAACAGACACTCACATCTTTTGCATTAATTTCATGATTTGCAGAATCAACTTCAAAATGTTCGATGTTAGGTATAACTCAGGCCATTGTTACTGGTGGCATAAGCAATACCCCACATCGACTTTCCTAAAACAGAACACCAAGTCATCAGGAGTATTACGACAGCAATATTCGATGGTGTCAGTAAGATGACCGACTGACAGGTCAACATTCTCTGCATAGCTTATGTCATGAGCATAAAAAAATCATTAATTTACCATATTTGCCGTGAAAGGCACCCAAGGGTCTCAGACAAGAGATAAAGTGTTATTAAAACCATCCACATCAAACAAAGTTTATTGTTGGAGATCAAGCAGTGGAGAACAAACTTGTCATCAGTGAAACTCAAAGATTTTCTGCAACAGTTACACAGCAACCAATCACACACACACTTGTGTTTTCTTGCAGTTGGATACAGAAGTTGTTTGGGTGTCTGTAGGCCCTAGGCGCCGAATACAGCAAATATGGTATCTTGTGCAAAGTCTGAATATATTATTTTTCCAAAACATAAACAACCTTTGCATTGTGCATATGTATTATGAAATTTGAACATGGAGGGAGTTTAGAATTCCATTCTGTTCCAATCTTGTACAGTTGACTCATTCAGCAACACCTTCGGCCTGGATGGATTGTAAACAACGTATTATTATTGATATTCATATTATTATTATTATTATCATTATTACTGAGTTCAGATATTTACATTGCAGAGTCATTGTGAAACGAACCACACTGAAATTGAACAAAGCAAGCTCTGAATATCAGCCATGTGCAATCACACGTTATTCGCGGTCGATGACCTGGCCATATATTAGACTGAGTATTATGGCTGTCGTTCTTTCATATGTATGTCCCTGACCCAAGAGAAGCAAGTGTAAAACGCGAACACCATCATCACTGATGCAGGCATGGAGAAGCAGACGATGAACACACTACATCAGCTTGTCGGGGAACAACTCGTTCACACCCAGCACAATCACTGTCACCTAAAGTGTCTTGCAAAGACACAAGCTGACCATTTCACTGAGTTCCAAACTTTGAAAACCTTTTCAAAATATCATCAATTTCATAAAACAAAATGATCATATTTTAAAAGATCTAAACTATCAGTAAAAGATGAATTTTAATTTGAAATATTCAAACAATACCAAATTCCAAACAAATGCTTGATAGCATCAATGTATTCTCCAACCACAGTGCCCAGTCACAGGTAACTACACAGACAGACGTACAGTGCATGATGGGATTGATCAGACTGAGAGGCTGTGATGGATTATGGGATATGCTGAAGATGAGGCTATGATGATGTTGGAGATGACAGAGAGGCTTGTGTGGTCAGCTGACGTTCCAAGTCGGATATTTCCGTGTCCGTCTCCTGACATTCTGTATCTAGACTTGAGTATTCTTCGTCACACACTTTCTGTTCCTCGGTAGATGAAACTCGCTGCCGTTTGTCTCGAACAGCAATTCTACAACAAACAATTAGAGAATTGTCAGAAAACTGTGGACACTTATGTGTAAATCCTGTATCACTGACATCAAAATCTCAACAACAATATTTGAAAATGTCTTTTTAGGAAACCACTTTTGGTGTACCATGACCATATGAAGTCATTAAGAAACTACACAAGTCTCGGAAAAAATTCACACAAACCTCCTTAACTCAACTAACATCAACAAAACCTCTACTTTTCTTGCTATATTGTCCATGGGAGCGATAGTTCCGAGAGTTTAATAAATCTACAAATACTGAAGGCCCACACAGCCATATTCCAGCCATCTTAAAATAGTCGAGTCTGGACCAGACAAACCAGTGACTGACATCAGCAGCACTATCTCCGTGCCTGGGATACAATCCACCAAATGGCAGCATGATCCATTGTGTCATTTCGGACAACCAGCACAGGTTGATACAGACGATTCTAACCCAGAATCACCATCAGCATTAGATAATCATCTACACAATTATCAGTTTAATACCTTTCCACATGAAATTAATTCATTTCATGAATATAAATTTAGATAGATACATTGGATAAATTTGCAGATACATTGGATAAATTTGCAGAAACAATACAAACTCTACACCAGGTTATCATGCTAATTCAGGGACTGTTCCATACAAATGATCATCTCAAGACAAAAACAGTCCTAAATATATGCAAGCTAAATCCCACAAACAGTAAGAAGGGTACGATACTTTGTGGATAACAACTACTTTATTATATCATGATCCAACACTTTGGTAGAGATTCTTATACCATTGTCTTGCTTGACAACAACATAAGAATCTATACCGAAACGTTGCATAATGATATAATAAAGGAGTTGTTATACATACAGTATTGTACCTTTCTTATTATTCATCAACTTCTAAAATGTCAGTCAAAACAGATCATCACACAAAACGTGTTGGGCAACTCATTGTTTCCAGTGAATGAAACACACAACTCTTGTGTGAGAAATTCTTGCAAACACAAGTGGTTAACAAACTTCATGACATCAAAAAACAAATACAATATTAATTGGAAGAAAAACATTCTTAATGTGAAAGGGAGAAACAAATGCAACAAACAGATTAGGAAATTTAAAAAATCAAACATATCTTAACGTGCACAAAATGTCAAATTTCAAAGTCATATGTACATAACTTGAGCCTTATTGAGAGTTTCGTTACACGATGAGTTTACATCATGATGTGATGCTACAGTTGATCCAGTTATACAGCTACACAAATATCTGGCAGTTATAATCATTTGTACCACAACATGTTCACCCAGCAGAAAATGGGTACCCGGTGGGATAAGTCATGTGACTATAACCTTCTAGTGCCTCACTGGCAGCTTGGGTTATCCGGGATAATAATGAACTGTATTTGTATGCGCTTTAAGCATGCACTTGGTGTATGGAATTTAGCGCTATAGAAATACACATTATTATCATGTTTACCTGCAGAACGACTGACTTCTATATCTATGAGTATACCGAGAAGTATTGTATTATTTTTTTTCTGGGAAGCTACAACTACCGTATGACATGATGAGAATACATGCAAGGAACACATGTGGCAGTAAGAATATCTTGGGGTATTATATACAAAGAGTGGGCTGCACATGCTGAGAACTCAACACATTTAAATAGTGTCAATAATATGATCACACAACACAATACAGGCCTGTATTCTTATCTTTAAGTGAGATACGATTCATATGTCAGAGATGCTTGAACCATGGAAGAATTATATTCTCTGATGGTGCACACGTATACATTTTGGAAATTGTTAAGGATTGAATGTTTTTCCTTCTCTAGAAGTAGATTGGAATTGCCTCCCTTTACTAGGAGTAGGCAAGAATTGCCTCCCTTTACAAGAGGTTGATGGCAATTACCTCAATTCACTGGAAGTAAATTGGCATTGCCTCCCTTTACAAGAAGTAGACAGGAATTGTCTCCCTTTACTGGAAGTAGATTGGAATTGCCTCCCTTTACAAGAAGTAGACAGGAATTGCCTCCCTTTACAAGAAGTTGATGGCAATTACCTCAATTCACTGGAAGTAGATTGGAATTGTCTCCCTTTACTGGAATTAGACTGGAATTGCCTCCCTTTACTAGAAGTAGACGGGAATTGTCTCCCTTTACTGGAAGTAGATTGGAATTGCCTCCCTTTACATGATGTAGATACCCTTCACAGTGACGCCCGTTTGCGGAGCTCTCCACGTACAGTCACAGCATCCAGTCACAGCTTGCCGCCGTGCCAGGCAGTAACAACAGTACAGTTGACCTTTCAACTGACCATTGACCATTACAGTCCAAACAAGTGATGCCCACGGTTCAACACATTATGAACAGTATCCAGTCTCATAAACTGACGTCAGACCACGTATGGTGCTTTAAAACCTAGCAACCTGACAAGGCACACATAAGTGATGCAACTGTGTACAGATAAATTAAGCACTTTCAGTGATAGTTGCCACCCATCTCCTTCCCTTTCCCAATAATGGAATGTTTTTCTGCATAAAGACAAGTCTTTCTTACTTGCTGACATGTAAATTCCTTTTTAATGCAAGCTGAGTAAAAGATTGTCACGAGATAATTGCATTTGAAATCACTTAATAACTCAGATTTTTTCAAACTTAAAATCTCAATAGCAGGCAGATTAACTTCATATAAATACAGGCCATCACTACCAACAGAACTGACTTTGACCTTGACCTGCAGACACAAGGACGTCCTGTACGCGCTGTGTATATACGTATATGTGGCAACAGTGCATGCTGGTATGTTTGGGACGTCAGGAGAACACTCGATGCAGATTAGTGTAACGAGAACACACCTAGTCGTGAGGAACTTGCCTGCACGACAGCAGCTGCACATGACCTTCACCTTCACCAAAGGTGAGGTCATCTTCCCACAAGTCTCTGAAATGCCAAACCTTAATGCTGCTCAAACAGTAGGTAATAGGGAATTCTGGGAAGACATACTTATGCAAATAATCCAACTACGTTCATTAAATAATTGTTCTCAGGATACAGAAATATTCCCTTCTTATAATCCGTCATCACTCACAAACAATTACAATCTGAGGCTCATTTTTTTTTATACTATCCCTAAACATATTTGAAGAAAAAGGGAAACAGAACAGGTATTATGAAGAAATAAAACAAGTCATTAAAAGATGAAACAATCAGTAACTTAATAAAACTGAAACATGGAAAAGATTGGGATTCAGCCATAAGATAATCTTGCACAGATTACACTCCCCTAGGTAACTGTTACAGCATTATGTTGAGGTGAAACAGAAAAGCAGGAAAATAGTAGCAAGTTGGTGGCATAAATCCTGTCTCCTGAACTTCAGTGGCAGACTGGTCCGTTACACATGGGGAGTGTTTAGTCAGGCACTGGCACTTCTGCTAAAGGTGTACTGCAAGGTGTCTAGATTTAGCATTACCTGTTTACCTCAAACGTCAAACATAAACTAAAATCCTGACTGCAGTTACTGTCCTTGAGTCATTACTATCATTTCCAGCTTGATATATATGAAAACAAATTGAACAAAGTCTCTTTTGATTGATTTTAATTAACCTTGCCAGGTTTTCAAAATGGCCTGACACCTCTTCCTCCTTAAAGTTATACAGTCACTGACCGGCTTCACACATTATTCCTGCATGTTTGTTGTTACCTTTTGTGCTTGATCTGCACCAGCTTCTCTCTGAGTCTCCCAATCCTCCGCTGTATATCTTTGTCAAAATCCACTGCTGAGGAACTTGACTTAGTGTCTGAGACTAAAACAATAAACAACAGCAAATTAATTACACCATCTATTATTCAGGACAGTTTAGCAAAAAATCACTAAGTATTTCTTTTTAAATGAGAGATTTTTCATTTTATAGAACAGCTGGAATTATTATAAATGTAATGGTTTTTGCACTGTACTGTGCGATTTCAATAAAATATTGAATACATTCATGAGTAATATTGCATAAGAAAACATATCACACACATGTATACACCAAAAATTCTTTTAAACTTGTACTACTTGTAAACTTGTACTACTAAAATGCTTAAAACATGAACAAGGCATATGAATGCTTAACAAAATCAAATAACAGCTTTGTTATTTATAATGGTAAAGAAAAGATAAATCATCCGTGACGATGTTGATCAAATAGAAACATGATTATATTCATTGATTGATTGACCATGATGTGATGTGCACACACACACACACAAAGGAGAACTCCACATCTAACAGTGGAGTGACCATCAGAAAGGGGGGGTAACTCTGCTCATGCACACTGCAGAGTGATGTCCCCTTGAAATGCACACCAGTGGGAAACATAGGATGGAGAGCCAAACTTGTGCAGTGGACGGATACAGCAAGGGCCTATCAGTTACACTTATCTTGGTAAATGTAACAATTAAAATATAAATTCTTTCATCAGTTCAACAAATATTAACAGGTGTATACCTTATTTTACAAATATACGGAGATGAAAGTTTGTATGGAAATTTTAACTAGGTTGAAACATCAATATATACTTCTTTCACTTTAATTACACATACATTTTCTGTCAGCGTATTTGGAAATTGCTAGAAAAAAGGAATCAGAAGGGATTTGTGTTTACATGTCAGTTTTGCAAATGCCTCATTATTACAATGGAAAGGAGACACATTTTACTATTCTAGACAGAACATTCTCAATGATTGGTTGAAATGACAAGTAGAGCATTGCTTATTGATTTAAGTGTGAAAATATCAAAGATTATGAAAAGATACATGTTTCTTCAGGTGCATTCATAGACTTAGATGAAAGTTTCATGAAAAATGAATGAATGAATGTTTTGCATTTTTGGAGAGCAAGATCAAAAGTAGTTGTAATGCAGTCAGTATACCTTCCTTTCAGTAATACTTCACATCAGCCCCCAAAATAATAAAAGTCACTTCATAACAAAGAATTTGATTGGCATCGTGGTTCATATACAAACACAAAATACAGGGACTTCAGCTTCTGTAATCTTTTAGTAAGAAAAGGCTTCAAACTTGGTTCAAAAGTGTACAAAAGTCAACAAGAAGACCCAAAGTATTCAGATATAATCTACAAGAAAAACACTTTCTGTTCTTATAGATGCAAATGAGTACATGACAAATTTATAAAAGATCAGTAAATATTTCAATCAAATGACATCATCTTCTCTCTTATATGTTACTGTTACTGTCAAGTTACTGTTGAAAATATTTGGAAAGTACTGGAAAATATCCTTCCAATAATCATCCACCTCTTTAAGGTTGTAGATGTCTTCAGCACCACGTGATGCAGAAAGCACAGAAGGTAAAATCTAAAACTGCCCCATTTCCAAATACTTTTGATATTTGCTCTACAAGAAGGAACATAGATGAAAATGGATGCACAGCAAATGAAATGGTTTGAATCATTCTGACATATTTCATGAACACAATGTCGTCTTGTTCTATATGACTCATATCTGAAATACATTTCTCATATATTGACACAATGAGCTAGTTCGCCAACAGACTCCACACATTACCAATTAGTACATTTCCCTTTACCTGTTTCTTCCAGACCACTGTGAGGAGCTTAGTGACACATTCTACTCCCCTACCACTAGCTATATCTACTGCCCACCTCAGACAGCCACCGTCACCAGCATACCATCAACGCTTGTACTCTTATCCCAATATTTACATCAACACATGACAAAAAGCTTGAACCAGGTTTGTGGATCTTTGAGCTAGAAGCGTGCAAAGAATCTATCTCAACTCAACAGAGACACCTACAACGCAGAGGAACAAGACTGGGTCATCTAGGCACATGGATAAGCGATAACTCAGATCCTTGGGATGGCTATCGTTTTGCTACATAAAGCAAAACACAATTCTACACATGGGATGAAAACAACTATAAGAGTAGCAGCTACCATTAACAGCAAAATAAAATGGCATCATTCATGTGAATGGTTCAAGAAATGCTTCATAATGTTTGATGTGATTTAGATGTGACTTAGAGGTACTGTAAAGCAATGGACGATAAATGTCCAAACAGTTGAACATAAAATACAATCCTTATTCCTCTTGAAATTTTTTGACAGGATTAATTATCTTACTTGTAGAGCGGATGATTTAGTCTTTTATAATTGTGTAACTTGTTCTTGAATTAATGGCAAGGCAATTGCAAAAATACATTTTGCCTCACTTAAAGTTCAAGGTAGAATTCAAATGCTCTCTTTTTCTGATTCTTAGACACCTATATTTTTTTTACAAGATAATACACAAATTACTTACGGAAATATACTGTTGAAACATAAATAAAGACATTCTTTATTTCTAATGGACAAATAGAATCCTGCAAATGTTGCCCTCCCCAGTCTTGAGCCTCTTGTCTACAAATGTTTCAGCGGAGGACAAGGGACAGAGGCCCACTGGACCAAGTGCTGGTTATGAAAAGGTAGAGGAAAAGCCAAAAACTGTTACTTTTATTGTGAAAGAGAACTTCCAATCTGGCAAGCGACAGACTGCACATCCTTTCAAAGTCTGCAAATCGGGAGTCCGACCCTGCCACTGTCATGGTAGGAGCTGGACTAGGTGCCACTGTCTCCTTGACAGTGGTCATGTTGACCTTTTCCAGTTGAGAAGACAAACAGTCACCACTTTGTGGTTCAAGCGGACAGCCAATCGTCCGCCGTCGTTGCTGGTCACGCTGAACCTGTGCTGGCATACGATGCGGCATGCTACGTCGATATTTTGGAAAAGTAGCATGACCAACGTCTAAAGAGAAATGTTTGAAAATGGATTCCAACCCCCAAGCATGTAAAAGACTATCAACCTCAGGGATCTCACTAGACTTACTTTCTGGAGTTGTCAGCTGTACATCCTCACTGTTGTCATGGAAACTGGAAGAAGTGTTGTCGTTTCCATGACAATCTACAGCAGTTTCTTCCAAACTGTTCCCAGATTGTTCAGTTTTTGCTTGTTGTTTGTCTTCATGACTTTCAGCAATGACGTCTGCTTCATCCGAGTCAGACACTGCACTGGCATTGTACTCTAACTTGTCTGATAAACTGATCATGGAAGCTGTGTTGGATTTTACAGTTTCTAAGCGTCACTACTTGAGTTCAACATTTCACATTTTGATATTTCAATGGAATCACTCCCATTCACCACACTTTTTGCACGTTCTAATTCCTCTTTCAATGACGGCCCAGACTGGGAATGTGAAGACGCCTCTTCGGGTATTGTATTTACAAAGCACTGTAGAGAATTTTTATCTTTCACTTCAATGGCATCATATTCACCACTGTCCTTGACATTGTTATTCTCGGAGTCGAGACAAAAGCGTATATGCAACCCCGATCCAGCATCACCAGTTTTCTTCTTGCTGGGTGGACTCTGAGCTGACACCAACTCCTTTGAATCTTCTTGTGTAGGACTACTTAAGCTCTGAGCTTCTTCCTCACTCCGTATGACACATCCACTGTCACTCTCACTGTCCGAGTTTGAACCCTTGACACTATAAAACCCACTATCTGTTGTATGTTTTCTCTCATCGTATTCCTCGGGACTTTCGGCTGACAGTTCCGACACAGAGTTCTTCCCCTTCTTTTGGACCTCGGTGTATACGTCACCATTCTCCACAACTTTGTCAGTTTCCAGGAGGGGGAGAAGAAGGAGAAGCATCGATGCACTGCTCTTCCTCATTCTCTTCCTCCGGGATATCTTCCTGACTCACAACCATCACCTTGCTGGAACTAGGAGACTTGTCGCCACCATGTTCCTACAAACAGAACATTTCAACTCAGGATTTCATATAGTTGTACTTACATTCATAACAAACTCAAGGGGACACAGTATAGCTGTAGGTCATTAAATGCATTTCAAATAAAATAAACAGCAAGTGGCCAGAAATAAAAAGTTTGTTCGTTTTATCTGTCCGTTCATTATAAACGTTGTTTACTGAAATGACCTTAATTGTTGATCGTTGTTAATATTAAAGTGAAACCTACAAGATATAACAGCAACTCATAAGAAATAGATAAATTTAAAGAAGAAATATTAAACTGCGATACGTCTCCCAACAATATCACTTTAAATATGCTTCCAACACAATTCCGTTAGACTGGCTAAATTGGATGATTCTTATTACCTATACTGGTCAGAGTCACTTACGGTTATATTTTCATGCAGCTACATTTTCAACTCAAATCATATTTTCAGCTTCCTCAACTACTTGAGTTAGGATCCACAAGGTAAGGGAGGCAACTCTTACCCAGCTTTTTATCACAGAGTAGCCTAACAGGTCGGAGAATGAGTTGTTGGAATGGATATCGTCGTTGAAGTACTCGTCGAGGCCTTGGGGGATGTGGTCTGTTGCCGTCTCCGCCATCAGAACATGGACCCAGGGACCCATCTCATCCTTGCTCAGAGGCTGAATGTCAAGGTCAAAGTCACGTGATTACTGAACAAACTGACATAATAAGGAAACTAGTACACATGTATGATAGGTCAAGCTAATTTCTTGTTTCATTATTTTGTTTTAGCTAACTTGGAGAACAACTGAAAGAACATAGACAAGACTATGTTTTTTTTTACATCACCTTCATCCATGAATCAGCAAATTAAACCAACTCACTTTATAAGTTTTACTGCTCATATGTAATGATATGTGTATCGGATGTCCTGGAGAGGTGACTTGACTTCATTGATAGCATGGATTATAGTTCAAGTTTGTTCAGACACGAACATTTAAATCTTATCGCTGCAATACCACGTGTGTGGCGTCAAACAATAAATCGTCAACTCCACGAATCAGCAAATTAAACCATCTCACTCTATAAGTTTTGCTGCTCATATGTAATGACTTTTGTACTGGATGTCCTGGTGAGTTGAAACAACTGGCCGACTCCTACCTCCACAGTTATCTTCTCCTTGCCATCTTCAAGCAGCATCAGGGCGTATTCGCTGTTTGTCTCCGTCACGGCGCGTCGAAACACACAGTTCTTCAACAACAGATTCAGCTCAAACTGCTTGGACTTTTCGTTCCGGTAGCACTCGAACATGTTCTCCCTCACCAGACACCACCGCTTACCCCAGCGTCGCCGGTTGAAGGAGCTAAAGATGTTCAGATAACCTGAAAGGGCATTATTGTAGCTGTTGTTATCTCACCATTTTCAGAAAGCAGCGGGACGGCAGTTAACTATTAACTTATCAGAAGTTATTTCAGTCTAACTGTTAAAATTATTATTTAATTTGTTTGTTTCTTTGTTGTTAAATGCTGCACTCAGCAATATGTCAGCTATATGGCAGCAGTCTGTACTGACTGACTGAGTTTGGTTTTACGCCGCTTTTAGCAATATTCCAGCAACATCATGGCGGGGGACACCAGAAATGGGCTTCACACATTGTGCCCATGTGGGGATTCGAACCCGGGTCTTCATCGCAGCAGTCTGTAAATAACCAAATCTGGACCAGAAGATCAACAGCATGAGCACTGATTTAAGCAATTACTATACGATGCCATGTGTCAACCAAGTCAGCAAGCCTGACCACTTGATCCCATTAGTCGCTCTTACAACAAAAAACGGTTGCTGAAAACCAGTTCTAACCCCGATCTTCATGAGAGTATTTACTTAGTCAGGGTGAGTGCCCTGTATTAACTATGAAGTACCATTATCTGATGACTAACATCAAGATGAGTGCATTACCATTTTATGCAAGATATCACTTATTCATTCCAATATGTTTCCTCCCCACATGAAGATAAGACAAGTTCACATAAACTGAATGGTGGGTTTGTTCAGCCAATCAGATTTCATATAAGGACATTTTACAATCTGCGATATTTGACCGTTTATAAGACACTTTGACACAAATTACTTGGAGTTTGCAAGACACAAGCTCTTTGGATGATTGTAATTGTTTGACAGTATGACACAAATTGACAGTCTGTATCATAATAATAATAACAACAATCATAATACAGTAGATTTGTTATGCGCCAAAACTGCAGGCAGTTGGTGTCTGCTCATGGCGCTAAAAAGTATGACAAAAAGTGTCTTAAAATTTGTATGACACAAATTAAAAATTTGTTTGAAATAAAATGTATTGACAATATGAAACAAACAGTTTGACATGCAATTAAACATTTGGGTGACAGACACATACAATTATGATTGGACACAATGGTGGTTAGGACAAAAGGGCAAAAGAAACACAAAAATGTTAGACTAATAGAGTAAAATCAAACATTAGAAGTCAACAAAAACAAATGCCAAAACATAACGAGGTTTATTCAAAAGCAACAAACATCTGAACTGATGATATTAGTTTTTAAGGGGTTCCAACCAGTGTTCACGTAACAGTTTCTAAGATGACACCTTTCCTTAAAGAAGACGCCTTCTCCTTTCCCAGCCCTAAACTGTGGAAATCTCTGCTAAATACCCATCTTTTCACTGCTGCCTTTCTGTAAAGTTATATGAACTATTTCCTTCCCCAATATTGTCACAGCACCACTGAGGTGAGGTGAAATTGGGTTTAACGTCGTGCTTGAGAATATTTCGCTCATATGATGACGTGCATGCGTGTGTATGTGTAGGTGCGGCTGCTTGTACTAGCCCAGACTTAAGCTGGTTTTATAGTGCTAGCCCACTGAGATACCATGCCGCAGTGACGCATGAATACCCCACTCAGACACATTATACTGACTCCGAGCCGACCAGTCCTTGTTGTACCCATTAATGCCGAGAGCCAGGCAGGACCAACAAGTACCATATTTTAACGTCTTTTGGTATGACGCGGCTGGGGATCGAACCCGCGACCTTCCGTTCCCCGGGCGGACGCTCTAGCCACTACACCACGGAGGCGGTCAGCGCCACTGAGCATCTCTATGGTGGATATTAGGCGCTTTATAAATACATTATTATTATTATTATTATTATTATTAAAGATGTATGTGTTAAGAACAATGATTGTGGATGTTGCTGAACAGATAAAACATGCAGAACTGCCACATCTCATAAATACAGCTGTGAGCTGGATTATATCCTGGCTTAACAAAGCGTTTTATGTAACGTCACAACAACTTGTACTACCACTATACCATACTGGGACCAGTGAGTTCAAGAATACGAGGTCTTGCTTAAAAAAACTGTCAAGTCGCCATTGAGGAAAGGTATATAGTCCCAGTGGTTTTCTCTTTTTAACAGAATTGTTTGCCACTATCTTTCGTCCTCTTGGAAACAGATCCAACATACTATTCTCCTAACAACATACTCAGTAACAATTACAGTTTCCTTTAGAAATCAAATCATTTCGAAATACAGCCTACATACATTATCTATTATCCATAGTTAACAAGAATTCACAATACTGGTACTGATACTGACTAGAAAATCTATTTATTTGACTGAAATTTTGGGCTCACACTGTATTGTGTTAAGATGTCATGCGGTTAATAGTACCCACTAACCTTGGTGTTTGGTGTTGTTGGGAACATCCATGGCCACCTCAGGTGACACAGGGTCGTCAAAAACAGGTGTGCAAGAATCAGAGAATGATGAAAGGTTAGCTGGTGCGCTCTCCGAGGATAACGAACGCTCCTCCGCAATACCAGAAGTTGAAAGGTCGTTGTCAAGGGGAACACTCAAACCTGCCAATTTCCTCTTCCCACTCTTCTAGTGACTGATAACCTGCTTTCCCAAACTCTAAAATTGTGTTGCCCTGTAGGCGAAGGATCCCATCCTCATCACCTTGTTGCCTGGCAACAAGAGAAAGAGAGTTACGGCATGTCTCTTGTACCACCAGCAGGTATCCAATCACAAAGAATTATTTCATCATATAAGACGACCAGACCCTCGCTTGACTGGATGATGTCCTCCTACCAGCTCAGGTTGACAACCTTCCCAGATTATAATCTATTTTTATCAATATATTTGTGCCTTTATTTGCTCAGTGCCACACTCACCAATATTCGAGCTATCTCGTGTAACTATTTGAGTCAGGACCAGACAATCTAGTGACTGATAACTGTTTGAGTCAGGACCAGACAATCTAGTGACTGATAACTATTTGAGTCAGGACCTGATAAAAGTCCCTCAACAGAGAAATATTACAATCAAAACACTTAAGAAACTGATATTACGATAAAGTCCCTCAACAAACATGGGATGGTAGTGTAGCCTAGTGGTTAAAGCGTTTGCCCATCAGGCAAAAGTGAGTGAGTTAAGATTTTAAGTCACATTGGCAATATTTCAGCCATATCGTGACTTCCATCAGGCCAAAGACCTGGGTTAGATTCCCAATGGGTACAGTGTGTGAAGCCCATTTCTGGTGTCTCCGACGTAATATTTCTGGAATATTGCCAAAAGCAGCTTTAAAAACATACTTACTCACTCACTTTAAAAAATCAGTTGCCATTTTATGTTCCTTCATGCAATTATGTACAAGAGTTATCTCCCTTTCACTGCTAGCCATGCTGTCAACTTAGGATAATCTTAAACTAATCATTGGAATAATTTTAAAGCCATCAAAACCTAATCATTTGGTAGCATTAAGACATTTGGACATAGGTGCAGGATCACACGCAAACACACACACGAAATAAAAATACAAATGATAGTGAAACATTCTCACCCTCCTCAATCATCAAGGAACCAAACCATCATTATATCATAAAGTATATGTTGGACCTATTTGCCACCACAATGTTTTTGAGACAGGTTTGAATGTCACAACATCATATAAAGCCCTCCAGACTAATGACGCTGATCATTCAAGTCTGTAACAAGCAGTGACATCACCTGTACTTGGTCTACCTGATCTTGTTTCAGCTCAAGTAAAACAGTGAGCTTCTTGACTTCACTCAACACAACATACATTTCAGCTCAAAGTTAATTAAAAACAGTCACATTCTCCATCAGATATACTGACAGCTTGATCTTATATGTAGAGTGCACCAAACTCACTTTCAGTCATTACTGACTTCAAGGTCATGAGTGATTCTGTGTAACGACAGGGAAGGGGATGAGGCTATAGAGAAGTTGATTGTATGTCACAACTGACGGAGATATGATTCACTGGATGATCGAAGAGGCAAGCAAACAGGTGAGAGTTGAAAGTGTTACCTCGCATCTTGGCCTTCCCATCTTCCGGCCCGAAGCCGTCGCTGGACATGGACAAATTGGAGTTGGAAGCATTCAGGTCCGGCTGGAAAATAACACAAAATATTTACCCCAATTCATCCTCACAGACTACTGACACACTTGTGCTGCTTCAAAGGCCAATCTCATTAAGAATTCAGCAGAAAGGTCATGTAATTAATACCATGCAGATTAAAACCTACAAAAAGTGTGGATGTAGGTGATGGCCTTTCCTAGAATACCGTCCCAGAAGTGTCACCTGCTTCTTATTCATGATAATGACGGGTTACAAAGCCAGACAACTGGGCTTACATAATTCATGGAGCTAAACATCTGTTACAAACATATATACAAAGTAGAACAATATCCTAAAGAACTTACTGCATAAACAAGTGGTAGGTAGTGACACCAAAAGTTTGGTTTTATTGGAAGCCAGTCTTGGTTTTACACCCGCTTTTAGCAATATTTCAGCAATATCATGGCTGGGGACACCAGAAATGGGCTTCACACATTGTACCCATGTGGGGAATCGAACCCGGGTCTTCAGCATGACGAGCAGACGCTTTAACCACTAGGCTACCCCACTGCCCTAACATCCAAAAGAAAGTTACTAGTCTTGAAATGTTCTTCTACGCATCTGAAGAATTTATAATACTAGTTTTATGGATAACAGTATCTTTCAGAGCAACTTAAATCCTTCATCAGTGAATACCGACACTTCTCCCATCCAAACACTGGTATGATACCATGACAATTTACAGCAACCCTGCTATATTATACCTTAGGGAAAATATAAAAAAACATTTGCCATTTTAAAACTTTCTGTAAATTCATGGATTTTAATTTATTTCTAAGAGAAAATTGCCTAAACGTTTCAAGTTAAACCTTCCCATAATAAAGAGACAGTATCTTCACAAATAGAATCTGTATCATGCAACTAAGGGACGGTAAATCTTCATATCTTTATCTTCTGCAAGCACAGTTATTACAACCGCATATTGTGCTGATTAAGTCAGTAAATATACACAGAAAATATCCATTTGTTTTCTGCTGCAAGTACAGATTTATTACAACGATGGATTCAGTCAGCATCGTCAAGATGGCAGGAGAATTAGCACGCAATTATTGTGCGTGTTACACGTTATTGACAAAATGTCAAGCACATAATTATCTGAAGATTTAATAACCAAGTCGGTAATAGGATGGTTATGAGTCCACATGCATCAACTTCAAGCACACATGCATAACCCACCAGCACAAGCACATGTGTTGAAACAGACTGGTTCACGATCCAACATTTAGTGTAATGTCAGATATACTTGTTTTGTTCCGCTCACTGACAAGTTGCCCAGATCTCTTTTGTTTTTTTCAACAGTGAGTGAGTTAGTGAGTGAGTCAATATAGTTTTAGGCTACACTCAGCAATATTCCAGCTATATGGCGGCGGTCCATAAATAATGGAGTCTGGTCCAGACAATCCAGTGATCAACAGCATAAGCATCGATCTACGCACTTGGGAACCGATGACACATGACAACCACACATGACCACCCGATCCCATTAGTCGCCTTTTACGACAAGCACGGGTTATTGAAGATCAATTCTAACCCTGATCTTCACAGGTCTTTTTCAACAGTGATCAAATTACGAGATGTTTTAGTAATTTTAGCACCAAGACATTTTCCTGTGTTGTTATGGTAACTAGACTGGTCGACATCATGAAAGTTGAGCTGGCGACATAAAGGTGATGATTCAAACACTTGCTAAACTCCCAATTGTCCCAGATAGAGACACCTTCCAGACTTACTGACAGAAGAATGTGTTGATTGGCCTAATCAGGGGGAAAACACCAAAACTGGGCTTCACACATTGTACCCATGTGGGGAATTGAACCCGGGTCTTCGACATGACGAGCAAACGCTTTAACCACTAGGCTACCCCACCGGCCCATCAGAAAGAATAAGAGGATTTGTTCCCATCAACTTTGAACTTCGGTACAACTTTCACCAAGACGGTTGTCACACACATAGCCCCCATCATGCTATCCCCCTGGGGTGGTGGGGTGGGTGTGTGTGTGTGTGTGGGTGGGTGTGTGTGTGTGTGTGTGTGTGTGTGTGTGTGTGTGTGTGTGTGTGTGTGTGTGTGTGTGTTAGTCTAGTGGTTAAAGCGTTGACTCGTCATGCCGAAGACTCGGGTTCGAATCCCCACATGGGTACAATGAGTGAAGCCCATTTCTGGTGTACCCGCCGTGATATTGCTGGAATATTGCTAAAAGCGGCGTAAAACCAAACTCAGTCAGTTATCCCCCTGGGGTCTCGATGTGTCAGATTGCAGAGGGACCATAAATTTACAGCGATCACTTACAAGTTGACAACCAAATCTATGTTTAATAAGCCTTTGTGCTGGAGTGGCTTTGATTAATGTTTTCAAGACAAGATTTCAGCACCATGGCTGCCATGACTCCAATACAATTCCATTGGCTCACAAAAGTCAGGATTCCAAAATGTGAAAATATCCTGTATTTTGGTCTCAAACGTGCTGTAAATTAACAGACATTTGCAGAAATGACTGCTGGACCACGTGATATAGAGCCCTGGTGATGACACATGAACCTCGTCTCTATAACAAGCTTCAGGTGTTCCATATCTTCAGTTCAGTATATTAACCCAACTTGCCTGCAGCTATGTGTATAAAAACATCAAAGAAACTACTTTCCTGATGACAAGTCAAGATAGAGAAATCTTTCATAAAATACTTTGAATATGTCAAAAGCAGACATGTAAACACTTTATCATATTTGTCTTCAATTATTTTTTAAGTGACCTGACAAAGAACTTTTTCTCAAAAGACCTGAACAAATATTTAGTACTTCATTGAAAAACTTCAACAAAATTTGTGACTTATTGCCTCAATACATACATACAGATCTAAACATTAGAGACATAATAATACACAAAGGCGAACTAGGCAGTCTTAGGTTACACATAGATGCCAAGCATCAAACAGATCATAAGATTCAAATAGATCATGAATCTCAAACACATGTCTCTCACAGATGCAGAGCCTCTCTTAGAAATATAGCAGGGCTTCAAATCTCATATATAAGGCTTCTCAAATAGAAGCTAGGTTTCAAATATGAGACAGGTCTCAAATAACAACTGGGTTTCAAATCAATGCAGTGTTTCAAGTACACACAGTCTCAAACTGATACATCTCAAATACAAGGTTTAACCTGAGTTTGGTTTCAAATAGATTTTGTCATCCCAAAATAGAAGTTGGGCATCAAACAGATGAAAAGTCTCAAAAAGAATTTTGAAAGTATTGATCGACATCAATTAAAACAAATTAGTAACCAGTGATCAACTATCAGCATTCAAGAAATGTATCCAGTGTGTCTCTGAAGCTGCTGGCTCACTTTTCATGATGCATCATACGTTCACATCTATTGTCTGACAATGAGGACACACTAGGGAGGGGATGTGTCAAACACCGGGCAGTTTGAGTTTCAACATTTCCACAAGGGCAGCACGAAATTGGTTAATTCACCATCATATCTAACTTCACAGCCTGTGGTTAGGAATAAACTGCTAAAAACACTTTGAGATGCTCTCTTTCATCGCTGCCAGGTGTTGACACAACTGTCACGTTACTGGAACCATAGACTTTATCTAATAACCATACACACGGGTTAGTTTTTCACATGTTTATCAAAACTTTTTAGGTCAACTCAAAACTCAAAATTATCGCAGTAGTGAAATAAGCTTCTTGTTTTATTTTACAGATTGTCTTAGCTGTAGAATACAAGGAGGTATCAGTAAAAAAAGATTCATTTATAATACAATCAATGAAAAAATCTATCACTGATTTAGTACGGTATTTCCTCGTGACACACACCAGACTATGGGTATATTTCCAAGGGGAATGTAGTGCTTTTGCATCTAAGGATGTCAAAATGTTATGATATAATCTGAACACAACTACTTTTTTGAAAATGTCCAAAGAAATGACAGGTGGAGATGGAAGTGAGGCAATCAAATTTTTATACGTTTTAGTTTTTTCATATTTTGCAGCATGTATGCAGTATGGGGACAAATCTCACATCATTAAAAAACGATGAGTGAGTGAGTGAGTTTAGTTTTCGCCACACTTAGCCATATTCCAGCTATATGGCGGCAGTCTGTAAATAATCGAGTCTGGGCCAGACAATCCAGTGATCAACGGCATGAGCATCGATCTGCACAACTGGGAACTGATGACATGTGTCAACCAAGTCAGCGAGCCTGACCACCTGATCCCATTAGTTGCCTCTTACGACAAGCATAGTCGCCTTTTGTGGCAAGCATGGAAGACCTTTTCTACCCCGGATCTTCACAGGTCTTAAATAACAATGAAGTTAGTAATACACATTTAACCCCCTCTTTCAACTATCCTGTAATGATGATCTATCCTCATTGTGATCAACCAATACACATTTACCCCCTCTAGCAACAATCCTGTAATGATCTATCCTCATTGTGACCAACCAATACACATTAGCCCCCTCTAACAACAATCCTGTAACAATGACCTATCCTCATTGTGACCAACCAATATACATTAACCCAATCTAACAACAATCCTGTACTGATTATCTATCCTCATTGTGACCAACCAATACACATGAACCCCCTCTAACAACAATCCTGTAATGATGATCTATCCTCATTGTGACCAACCAATACACATTAACCCCCTCTAGCAACAATCCTGTAATGATGATCTATCCTCATTGTGACCAACCAATACACATTAACTCCCTCTAACAACTATCCTGTAACGATGACCTATCCTCATTGTGACCAACCAATACACATTAACCCCCTCTAACAACAATCCAGTAATGATGATCTATCCTCATTGTTCCCAACCAATACACATTAACCCCCTCTAACAACAATCCTGTAATGATGATCTATCCTCATTGTGACCAACCAATACACACTAACCCCTCTAACAACAATCCTGTAATGATTACCTATCCTTATTGTGACCAACCAATACACATTTACCCAATCTAACAACAATCCTG